AGCGCTCCCGCCCGAGACCTCCCGTTTTGCGCCAGATTTGCGCCCAACTCTCTTTTGAATTGGCGCCGCCCCCAGCAAGAACAACGCTCCCGCTCGTACTTCTTTTTTGTTACTAAGAGCTGGTGCTTTTGCTCGCCGCCGAAAACCGCCGCCCCAACAAAACCAGCGCTCCCGCCCGAGACGTCCTCCCGTTTTGCGCCGGATTTGCGCCCAACTCCCTTTTGAATTGGCGCCGCCCCCAGCAAGAACAACGCTCCCGCTCGTGACCTCTTTTTTGTTACTAAGAGCTGGTGCTTTTGCTCGCCGCCGAAAACCGCCGCCCGAACAAAACCAGCGCTCCCGCCCGAGACGTCCTCCCGTTTTACGTTGGACTGGCGCCCAACTCTCTTTTGAATTGAAGCCGCCCCCAGCAAGAACAACGCTCCCGCTCGAGGCTTCCCCCCTTTTTCCTGAAGACGGTGCTGTTCCTCGCCGCCGACAGCCCCCGTCTCAACAAAACCGCGGCTCCCGCTCGACATTTCTTCCCTGCGTACTAGAGGCGGTGTTCCTCCTTGCCGCCGACAACCGCCGTCCCAACAGAACCAGCGCTCCCGCTCGAGACTTCGTGTTATTTCACTCTGGACCAGCGCACTACTCTCTTCACCATTGGCGCCGCTCCTAGCAACAACAGCACCCCTGCTCGAGACTGCCCCCCTTTCTATTGAGGACCAGGTCCTTGCCTCGCCGCTGACAGCCCCCACCCCCACCGAGCCAATCCTGTCGATCGGCACTTCCTTGTGTTTTACCCTTGGCTGGGGCTCCACTGGCGGTCTCGCATCGGCGCACCAGGGCGCGGGCATGTGTTTCCGAGGCGGGATATGCTGAAATTCCTCGGAGGAGGTGTTTGCAAGATCTCATTGGGCGGGAGATCTGGGAATTGGAATAACGGACCCCCGCGGTAGAACAATCATCCCCCATGATGGGGATGGTAATCATGATGGTCGCATGCTGCGTGTGGAGAGGGTAAACTGATTGTTGTTGTTGAACATTATTACTTCTAAAGAATAATTATTGTTGGGACCCCTGGTACACGACCCCCCTCCAAAACCTAGGCCGCAGCTACATTTTCATCATTTTTTCGCGAAAGCTTCAGAAAAGTGGATTAGTACCGGATCCGGTTGTTTTGTTCCCCCCCGTTTTCCCTTGCAAAAAACACTATAAAATGAAATTTCTTGTTCAAATGTAATCCAATTTCAAGAATCCCTTGCAAAAAATAAGCTAAAGTGGACATTCGCGCGTGCAAGACGAAATCCTTCCAAAACCTTAGGTTTCGGAACGATTTCAACATAAAAACATCAAAAACCCAATGGTTTTTTAAATAAAAAATTGTCAAAATCTCATCCCGCGCGCTCTTGCGGATTCGTAGGAAACCCAACACTTTTTAAACATTTCTGTCAAACGGGCTTTTGCGAGCAACTTTTTCGAACTTCTGCGACAACGGTTGCGCACCTGCCAGGGCCATCATCCCTGTCAAATAATACCATGCGGGACACATTCGTTTTTTCTTCGCGCGCGCACGCCGTCGTCGTCGGCCGCGGGGCCCTGAATAGTAGCCACGGTCGTCCGCATGCCACGAAGTGAAGTGTCCGAACGTCATAGGGCGGGAAGCTGGGTGTGGGTGGTGGCGAAGAGTCGTTTGGAAATTTGGTAGAGCTTGAACCGGCCCCCCCACAAAGTGGGGGTATTGCCCGCCTCCTATGAAAACCCTGGCACTGGTGAGAACGGAGTGTCCCCAGTCTTAAATGATTGTTGTTGTTGTTGTTGTTGTTCTTGTCGTTGTCGTTGTCGTTGTCATTGTCGTTGTTGTTGTTGTTGGTGTTGCTGTTGTTGTTGTTGTTGTTGCTGTTGTTGTTGTTGTTGTTGTTGTTGTTGTTGTTCGGTGTTGTTGTTGTTGTTGTTGATGTTGTTGTTGTTGTTGTTGGTGCTGTTGTTGTTGTGGTTGTTGTTGTTGTTGTGGTTGCTGTTGTTGTTGTTGTTGTTGTTGTTGTTGTTGAACATGATTACTTCTAAAGAATGATTATTGTTGGGACCCCTGGTGCATGGCCCCCCCGCCGCGCCTAGGCCGCAGCCACGTTTTCATCATTTTCGTGAGGAAGTCTCAGGCAAAACGGGTTGGTCCGGATCCGGTTGTGTTGTTACGATCGGTTTTCCCTTGCAAAAAATAAGCTAAAGTGGACATTTCTTGTTCTAACATAACCAAACTTCAAGAATCCCTTGCAAAAAATAAGGTAAAGTGGACATTCGCGCGCGCAAGACGAAATCCTTCCAAAACCTTAGTTTTCGTAGCGATTTTAACATAAAAACATCAAAAAACCAATGGTTTTTCAAAAAAAATTGTCAAAATTTCATCCCGCGCGCTCTTGCGGATTCGTAGGAAACCCAACACTTTTTAAACATTTCTGTCAAACGGGCTTTTGCGAGCAACTTTTTCGAACTTCTGCAACAACGGTTGCGCACCTGCCAGGGCCATCATCCCTGTCAAATAATACCATGCGGGACACATTCGTTTTTTCTTCGCGCGCGCACGCCGTCGTCGTCGGCCGCGGGGCCCTGAATAGTAGCCACGGTCGTCCGCATGCCACGAAGTGAAGTGTCCGAACGTCATAGGGCGGGAAGCTGGGTGTGGGTGGTGGCGAAGAGTCGTTTGGAAATTTGGTAGAGCTTGAACCGGCCCCCCCACAAAGTGGGGGTATTGCCCGCCTCCTATGAAAACCCTGGCACTGGTGAGAACGGAGTGTCCCCACGTGCTAGTAATTGTTGTTGTTGTTGTTGTTGTTGTTGTTGTTGTTGTTGAACATTATTACTTCTAAAGAATAATTATTGTTGGGACCCCTGGTACACGACCCCCCTCCAAAACCTAGGCCGCAGCTACATTTTCATCATTTTTTCGCGAAAGCTTCAGAAAAATGGATTAGTACCGGATCCGGTTGTTTTGTTCCCCCCCGTTTTCCCTTGCAAAAAATACTATAAAATGAAATTTCTTGTTCAAATGTAATCCAAATTCAAGAATCCCTTGCAAAAAATAAGCTAAAGTGGACATTCGCGCGTGCAAGACGAAATCCTTCCAAAACCTTAGGTTTCGGAACGATTTCAACATAAAAACATCAAAAACCCAATGGTTTTTTAAATAAAAAATTGTCAAAATCTCATCCCGCGCGCTCTTGCGGATTCGTAGGAAAACCATCACTTTTTAAACAATTTTGTCAAACGGGCTTTTGCGAGCAACTTTTTCAAACTTCTGCGACAACGGTTGCGCACCTGCCAGGGCCATCATCCCTGTCAAATAATACCATGCGGGACACATTCGTTTTTTCTTCGCGCGCGCACGCCGAAATCTACAAAAACCATTGGGTTTTTAAGAATTTTACCACCGCGCATCATAAAATCACACGAATCGCACCGTAGGTCCTCGAAAAACAGCTGCACGACTTTTCAAAATTTCCACCCGCGCGCGCTGTCCGACTCCCACAAAACCAATGGTTTTCCAACATTTATGTTACATGAGCTCGCGCGAGCTACTTTTTCTTGTTCTAACATAATCAAATTTCAATACTCCCTTGCAAAAAAAAAGTAAAGTGGACATTCGCGCGCGCAAGACCAACAAAAAACACGACGATCTCAGGAACTTGCCCCAAAAATGTGACCAACTCCGCTCTCTCTGTCTCTCTCTCTGTCTGCTCTCTGTCTCTCTCTCTGTCTGTCTGTGTCATGTATTGTATGTCACAATTGCAGGATGCTGGGCACACGCGCGCCCCGAATAAGTGACCAAGTTCTGTGGGTGTGTACCCCACGCCAGTGTAGTAGCCACGGTCGTCCGCACGCCACGAAGTGAAGTGTCCCAACGTCATAGGGCGGGAAGCTGGGTTTGGGTGGTCGCGAAGAGTCGTTTGGATATTTGGTAGAGCTTGAACTGCCCCCCCACGAAGTGGGGGTATTGTCTCGCGTCGCATGAAAACCCTGGCACTGGTGAGAACACTGAGCGTTCGGGTAAAATGATTGTTGTTGTTGTTGTTGTTGTTGTTGTTGTTTCGCTACCTCTCGGTCTCTCCACCCTCACGCCTCATACTGTCTTGCGCGGAGGCGCCACCCCTCCCGCATGTTTCCCACACGTAGGGTTTCAACACAGTTGTTGCAATCGGACCGGCGCTGGTCCTATAACTGCTGTTCCCGCTGCAGCTGCAGCGTTGGTCGCATTCCAGTATCGCTTTGCTCCCGTCGTTCAGTTCTTGTTGTTGTTGCCCCAGCGGGGGGCACAATTTTGGATCCGATTCCTTCCTCATCGTTGCCGCCCCAGATGTTTCCCTCCTTCCCCTGGCCCTCCAGCTCCTGGTCCTTCTGCTCTTGCTGCTGCTGCTCCGCCTCATTCATCATCCTGCTCGTCCTAATGCTCAACCTCGCGCGCGTCCGCTACCTCCTCCTTCTAGTCCTCCTCCTCGTCCGATGTACACGGCCCCCCTTTTTTTATCTGATTGCCCACTACACGGTACGAGGTCATCTGGGGGACCAGCGCCATGTAGGACATCCCAGCGAGTGGACAGGATGCACTTCTGCACAAAGGAACAGGATAGGCGGGAGGTGTATGATACCAGAGGGCGCGAGCGCACCTGGCTTGCCCTTCCTCCTCTCCCCCCTCCGCCCTCGTCCCCTCCTCCTCCAGCGGAAGATGGCGGGGGGGGGGCGGGAGACGACGTCCCAAGCATGCAAGCACGCCGGCAGCAGGGTCCTCGATATGCACAGCCTGCAGTATCCACGGGTTGCAAAACCACCACCGAGTGTCACCTCCTCCTCCTCCTTCCTCCTCCCTCCTCCCTCCTCCTCCTCTCCCTCCTCGCAGTTGGGCTGGCGAGGAAAGAAGGAGGAGAAGGAAGTGGAGGCTGAACATCATCCTCATCCTTCTCGCCCTCCTCTTCGCCCTCCTCCTCCTCCTCCTCCTCCTCCTCCTCCTCCTTCTCCTCCCAAAGGCCAGGACGCTGGCGCAGTCGGACTGGGCCGTCGAGCCCGCACTTTGGATGCGCTGGATCTTCAACGGCCGCCTGGTGAGCTCCACGTCCAGCGAGGCTCATCTTCTTTGATTGTCGAGAGTCGAGGATTTTGTATGTTTCCGACAGGAAGGATGAGGATGATCGTCGGCCCCTTCTTTCTCTTCACCTGGAGAGGAGGATTGGACAGGACACTTCGCACAGAGAGGGAGCATGGGTAGCAGGAAGATGGCGGCGGAGGAGGACGAAGAGGAGGAGGAAGGAAGCAAGGAGGGAGGAGGAGCAGGTGGAGGATGCGGAGGAGGAGGAGGAGGAGGGAGGGAAGGGAGGAAGGAAGGAAAGAATGCAGGAAGGAAGGAGGCGGTGTCACTGGCGCGAGTGTGCGATCGGATCGACCATTCCGGCCGCCCCAGGGGTCCCGTTCGCGGGTGCCCGTCCCTTCTGGGAGCCCCTGGGGCCGTGGCGGGAGGAAGGAGGGAGGAGGAGAAGGAGGAGGCAAGGAGGAAGTTGGCGGTGGTCCCTGCTGTTGCTCCGCTCTGCCCCCGCGGCGGGCCGCGGGCTCACCGCGAGGCACGCCACGCGCTGTGCCCGCGCGGATCAGCCAGCCAGCAGCAGGAGGAGGAGGACGAGGAGGAGCGTCGTCAACGCCCTAGTCGCCCAACGCCTCCCGCGCGATCGGCCGAACATGTCGTTTTTCTTTGGATTGAGCTCTGTGGCTCCCAGAGGGGTGGGGTGGGGGTTCAAGCTGAACGCCCCCCCCCGAAACATCCTGGACATCTGGACACCCGGGAGGCCTCTCCGGACCCGCCCTCTGCGAAAACGGGTGCGGGGTCCCAAACTCCCTTGCGCCAGGGGGGGGTTCAAACCCCTCGCTCCCCCTGGCGCCTGCAAGCGACGAGCACACCTCCCTTGCGCAAGGGGGGGTTCAAACCCCTCGCTCCCCCTGGCGCCGGCAAACGACGAGCACGACGACGACGACGACGACGACGACGACGATGACGACTGGCGCCAAATGGGGGTGGGGGTGAACCATCCCCATCCCTCTTTTGCGCGAGCAGGGGCTGGGGCGTCGGTTTCGCTGGCTGCTATCTTGACGGAGTGGGGGGGATGCAGTGAGATGGGGGGCATGTCCGCAGTGTTGCCTGATCGAGCAGTAGTGGGTCGAGGCGCTTTTTCAATCACATTTCTGCACGCACTGGCTTTGCGGATTGGGACACGTCATGGGCCTTTCGACCAACTAGAAACACAAATTGCGGTCATCGGATGGTGCATTTGTCACTTCCATGCAATACGTTGGCCAACTCCGAGATCATCGAAGGCGCCTATGGCAAATCACCGCCAGCCCCTGCCTCTGGAAACCCGTGGGGACACACTTGGATCGGGCCGGGCGAAAGGGGGGGATTGGGAAAGGGGGGGTTACGAAATTTGGTGCATGCAGCTGGTTTCGGCCTCGCCGAGGGGCCCATTCCTCGATACATGGGCGCCTTCTGGCGCCGGGAGGCGCTGGGAGACTCAGCTACGAGAGGTGATTCTCAGACCCCCCCTTTGCTATCCCCCCCTTTCGCCCGACCCGATTGGAGGAGGAGGCAGAGAGAGGAGGAGGAGGAGGAGGAGGAGGAGGAGGAGGAGGAAGAATAGGAGGACGAGGAGGAGAAGGAAGAGGAGGGGGAGGAGGAAAAGGAGGAGGAGGACGAGGAGGAGGAGGCGGAGGCGGAGGAGGTGGGCGACTCCACTCAAACTGGCCCACGCCGAGGGCCCTCCCAGGCGCCCGACGCCCTGCCTGGCGGCTCCACCCGCCGCCCTGCACGACGCCCAAAGGGCAGCCACTCGGCGGCCGGCCCCGCGACGACACCTCGCCCGACGCCCCGCCCAACGACCAGCCTGATGCTCACCACCCACCAAGCCACCCCAACCCAACCCGAAGGCTCAGATTTACCCTCGATTTCCAGTGGGGGGGGGGGGCGGGAAACACTGAAAAAACACATATGGAACCCGTACCCCCCCCCCAACCCGAAAGTGGGGTCTTCGGGTTGGGTTGGGGTGGTCTGGTAGGGGGAGAAAAAGATAAAAAATAAGATAAAAAAGATAAAGTACGACCAGCCTCGGGGGAGAAAAAGATACGGATACGTGTTGTCCCCCTTCAATTTCGGCCTTTCCTGGCCCTCCTGGGGAATCCTCGTTGTCACCGCTGGATTCGCTTCGAAATTCCGGTCAGAACGCACCCAAAGAGAGGTCCGGGGACAACACGTATCCGTATCTTTCCGCCCCCCAACAGCCTGATACCGCTACCGAAGCCAAGCCCCGTGCCCAGCCCTGGGCTTCTCCCGTTGCCCCCGACCCGCTTCCCAGCGACCTGCCCGACGTCCCACTTGACTTCCCGCCCGATGCCGCGTCTGGCGCCGTCTCCGTGGACGTATCCGACGTCACTCCCGACGCCGCTCCCGACCAGCTTCCCGAGAACCGTCTCCATTCGCAACCAGACGCCTTAGCCGACACGCCCGGCGCAAGGGCCACCTTCCACCAGGGCTGGACCTAAACGCTGTGTTGCTGGACTCCGGTTGTGTTTTGTTCTTTGTATTGGGAGGGAGGTACAAGCTTCATATACATATAACGGGGGACCGGGTCCGGGGGCGGGGGGCCGGGACCACGACCGCAAATGTGGGGCCCCCGCGCCGGGACCCCTGCCAGAGCGCCGGGGGCCGTCCAAGATCGCCCGAAGATGGCTTCGGAACGCTCGAAAACGCGCTCCGATGGCTCCGGATGCCTTTCAAGACGACTCCCATGACGCCAAGAAGGCCCCCGAAGGCCCCGAAGACGCCCCAAGGGGCACCCCGAGAGAGCCCCAATTAGCAATTACCCCAGTGCGACCCTACCTAGAAGTTGGAGCCCCTAGGAAAGCAGCATTAGTTGCTATGCTATGCCATGCCATGCTATGCTGCGCTATGCTATGTTATGCAATGCTATGCTGCGCTATGCTATGTTATGATATGCTATGCCATGCTATGCTAAGCTATGCTATGTCATGCTGCGCTGTGCTAGGCTATACTATGCTATGCTATGCTATGCTATGCTAAAATGCGCTATGCTATACTATGCTATGCTATGCTATGCTATGCTATGCTGCGCTATGCTATGCTATGCTATGCTATGCTATGCTATGCTATGCTTGGCTATGCTATGCGTGGGCGGCTATATGGCAGGGCCTCCGGACTTGAGCCGAAATGGTTGCGGAAGGCACTGCTTGCGGGGGCTCCGGTCCGGCCATCGAGGCTAGCTCGGCATCTGTCGCACATCGCTTTTCCTTTGCCTTTCCTTTGCTTTGCTTTTGTGTTTGCTTTGCTTTGAGTTGATTGTGCTTTGCTTTGCTGTCGCTGATGTTGCTTTGCCTTTGCTTGGCTGCTGTGCTATGCTCTGCTATTATATGCTATGCTATGTTGTGCTGTGCTATGCTGTGCTGTGCTGTGCTGCGCTGCGCTATGCTATGCTATGCTATGCTTCGCTATGCTATGCTATGCTGGGCTATGATATACGATGCTATGCTACGCTATGCTATGCTCTGCTGTGCTATGCTATGCTAAAGCTCAGCGAAACTAATATGAAGGTCAGCTAGCCAAGATAAACCTGAGCTAAGATGAACCTAGCTAAGCTAAGATGAAAAAAGCTACGCTGAGATGAGATAAGCAACGCTAAGCTAAAGGGACGTAATTGGGGGAACCGTGAGGCGGATCCCGGGGGAACCGCCCGGGGCGGGCCCCACTGCCCGGCCCTTTAACTAAGCCTCCGAGTAAGAACCCTTCTAGGCAGAGCCTAGGTAGGGGCAAATCGTCGATTTCCCATAAGAGAACTGATGTTTTTGGCGTGTTCGGGCCCAACCCAGGAGCTCCCCGAATGCGAAAGGATGGTCCAAGACGCGCCCAAGCAGCCCAAGTCAGCCTTGGGCTGCTTGGGCGTGTCCGCCAATGTCGCTAGCCGCGTCTGTTCCGATGCGCGCGGCCCGCGGTACCCCTCGGCCCCTTCATGCTCGCATGGCAGGTGCCTGCACACGTATATGCTTAGAGCCGCTCTGCCACGCCATTCCCGCAACGCGTGTTTTGCACAACCTCGCAACATTGATCACACGTTCATGGTCCGACTTCTCCATGGATGCCGCGGTTGCACTTTACACCGTACCTCGCCCAAGAAGGAGATTCTCAGAATCGGAGCCTTCGTGGGGTGATCATCACGCGCGGCCCTCGTAACAAGCCCTTCAGGTTGTGCACAGCAAGTGTACGATTACGTTCGCAATTGCATACTCAGCGTGCCAAACCGCAATGAGTTCGGGTCTTTCACTGATGTAAGTTGCAGAAGCTTTGAAAACATGAGACATCTGCCCAGTGGATGAGGAGTCTGAAGGGAGAGTTTGACTTTGGAAAACCGCCGCCCGCCATCCGTGCATCTGGCGAACAAATTATTAGTCAGGGCCAATAGTTGCGATGAAGCGCCATGCGAGAGCTCTGCTTTGACGACGGGCTGCCCTCTATCCGAGTAGCTGTTAGAGACGATTCCTGAACAATCTCAGGCGAACACCATATTTCGAGAGCCGCCTGGCCCGATTGTTCAAACCGAGTCGCTCGTCCCCGAGCATTGCGGGGAGGAGTTGGACCAAGCGCCCAGCCTGCCTTGACGGTAGTGGTCGTGGTGCGACTCGCGGTGAGGAGGAGTAGAAAGAGGAGGGTGGGGAGGAGTAGGGTATTGGAGTGAATTAGGGGTGGTTTTTGGACGGTGATTCTGATGGTGGATGGGTTGTCGTATTTATCCCAGTCTGTATTAGTACATGTTCGCAAGCACAGGCCTGACAATATTGTTCGTAACAGTCGCAATTGTATTGTTTGTAGTCGTGGAAGCATCACTGGTGGTAGAATTAGGCATCGTCTTAAGCCGTATTTGTAGAATCAGAGGTCGTAGACGTGGTAGTAGGAGGATGATGTTGTGGCTGATGAAGATGATCGTGCACGTGTTGATGATACTGATGATGATTGTGGTGAGGATGCTGATGAGGCTGCTGCTGATGATAACGATGATCAAGATGATGACATACAGGACGGATGAGGATGTCGCGTCATGGAAACGAACAGGACAAGGAGGTAGTGGGGGGGGAGGGGGGGGAGAATGAGGAGGGGGCAAGAGTAGGGGGATCATGATTTCCAGGAAAGGGTGCAGAGTGGGAAGAGGGGGATTGATTGAGCAGAAGGCTCCCTAATAGGTGGTGACCGTGGAGGTGATCAAGGTTCACGCCATCGCCAAGACCTTTGGAAGTGGCTGCGGGGGCATCCAGATTTTGCGCAAGTTTGCCCAAGAGGCCCTCTCCCTCGCCTTCCTCCTCCCGCCCCTCTTCTTCAATGAGGAAAACGGGCGGGAGGAACCTTCACTCCTCTCCTCAATGAGGAAAGGAATGGGGAATCCTCGTCCCTCTCCCCCCTGCTGCTGCTGCTGCTGCTGCTGTAGGCTCCAGGGTCTCCCTGAGATGCAGCCTGCCCAAGCCGGGCAGCGTTGCGCAAGGTGCGGTGATCTTGAACAGGACTTGCTCGTCCCCTGTGGGCTGTGACGAGGACGAGGTGGTTCACCCCGGAGGATAGGGGGGGGAGAGAAGAGTCAGGCGGTCGCAAACATGGTTTAGGGGGGCGTGGATTAGCGACGGGTCCCGTTTCCATGGGAAATCGCGGATTTCCGCCGCCGAGCGAGGCGGCATTGGCCGCACTTTGGGAGGGGCACCTCCCTCGATCGATGGATTTGGCGACCGCGCGCCAGATCCATGGATCGCTAATCCATATTTGCGCGCCCCCGAGAGGGGAACGGGAGGAGGGGGGGGAGAGGAGAGGGGGGAGAGGAGGGGGATGACTTGCTTGTCCCCTGGGCTGTGACGAGGTGGTTCACCCTGGAGGATGGAGGTGGGGAGAGGAGAGGGGAACGGGAGGAGCCTTCTGCGGTTGGTTCGCGTCGTGTCGACCGGCGGCGACCCCGCCGCCGGCGTTCAGCGTTGAATTTCGCCGGCGACACAAAACGGGTCCATGTTGAACGATCCGACGTTGTGGAAATCGCCAGTCGTTCAAGATTGAACGATCCCCGCGGTGTCAGAGACCAGCGCCGGGGTCGTCGCGACACGAGCCTGCCGTACGTGGAGTGGGGGTCTAAGTGTCAGAATCAATCCCCTTGAGCCGCAGCCGCCCTCCCCCTGCCTTGCGGTCTGGGGGGGCGCCTGCAGCAGAGGAGGCTCCCGGTAGTCTACAGGGCGGGACTGTTTTCTCCCCGCGCTGGTCCACGGGCCAACACCGGCTTTTAGCAGGTCACATGTAGGCAGGGGCGAAGCGATGTGGGATCGCACCACGACTGTTGCACATTGTAGCCTGGACCGCATGGCTTGCACCACGTAGCTCTCACCGCATAGCTTGCCCCACGTGGGTTGCACCTGGAGCCTGTGGGACAGGTGTGGAGGACCTTTCAATCGAGATAATTCCCAAACCGCAGCGAACCAAGCCAATGTGTAAGGACGCCAGAGGCGAAGCCCCTTCCGAGTCACGACGGGTCGTGCGAGCTATGAAGACACCTCAAGCGAAACCGCGCCCAAACCAGGCACCTGTGTACCCCAGGGGGGTAAGGGATGCAGCTCCCCGTGTCGTGACTGGTCGTCGAGGTGGGGTAGTGGTCGGGACTGTCCGTGGCGTGGTCGCCATCGCCTCGGGGCACGTCGGCAAGCCAGCCTCAGCCGTTGCCGCATGGGTCTCCGTCCCCGGGGGTAGCGCTGGCAGCTGGGCGTGCGACGGGTCAGTTTGCCAATGCCTCCGTCCACGCCGATAGGCATTCTCTTCCGTAACGGGACTGTTGGCAGCGCGGGGGCCCATTTCTCCACCATGTGGCGCGTTGGATCCAGATGAGTGCCCGCCTGACCTCTCAGCTGTATCGTCACGGAGCGGTCCTGGATGCAGGCCGTGCCAATCGGCTATCCCTCGAAGCATTGCATCATCCTCATCACGATCGTGGGAAACCTGATTCCGGGGAACGGGCAATGACATGAGCATAACAACTTGGAGGTCTACGTGGATTTCTCGTATCGGCGCTGGGGCCCCCTGGCGGCGCCTCCAACGCCGCCCCTGGCCCTCTCTCAGCGCTCCACCCAGGGGGAGTCCAGCGCCGATCCGAGAAATCCGAGCAGATCTCAGAGTTGTTACGTTCATGTCATTGTTTGTTCCCCTGTGCTTGCCGCTGTCCTGGCCACGCATACCAGGGAGTCGTTGTTGCCGCCGTTGCCCAGGCGCTCGCGCTTCGTCTGTGGGCTGCTTGTCCCCCGCACGACGGCGGGCAGGTGCGTGGAGATGAAGGGATCCATGCTCAGACATGATCGCGATGTAAAAACGTCAGGACGGGAGGCTTTTCGTCGTTTTCGGCATCTGGGGGCCCTCGCCAGGCTCCAGGACAGTCCGAACACGATTCGGGATGAGAAACCAGCCCCAGGGACTGAGTGCTAGAATCCAGCCCTGCTCTGACAGCAGCGTTAGCTCCGACCCCAGCTTCGCCTCCCACTGGACCTGCTGCCGACCCACAACCACCGACCCACGCATCAAGCTGCGACGAGGCTTATTTGCACGGACGCACAAAACCAGACACCGATTCCGAAACCGACGACGGTTTCTACGCCATCGCCGTTGCCAGCGCCGGCGCCATGACCAACGTCAGCGCCGCACCTGGCCTCGACGCCGGCGCTTGCGCCAGCACCGTCGCCAGCACCGACGCCGACACCATCGGCGGCGTCTAGGCCGACACCGACGACGGCGCTTGCGGCAGCACCGTCGCCTGCACCGACGCTTGAGTGTGCCTCGCGATGTTCGTGGGAAGACCCGACTGCGAGCCCTTCCCCCCTTCCCCACCTCGGCATCGACACCGAGCAATTCTTCAGCTGTCACTTCTGGCCGCGCCCTGTCGGTGGATACCAACTCCACTCCTTTTCCAAGCCTGACTCCAGTTCTGACCATGCCCCGACCTTTGCTCCGACTCTGGCTCCAGCTACATCTACGACTCCCGCACCATCAGTGGAATTCAATGCAATATCCTTGCGAGGGGCGTTGCGCAGCTAGGCCTCGGGGATTACCAGTGCCTCGGCACCCGTGTCTGGGCGCCCTTCGACCTTCACCCCTCCAGGTCGGCTACCGGAACTCCCGCTACAGTTACGTGTCCGCCCAGCTGCTTGCCTACTCGTGAGCATCCCTCGTTTTCGCTGTTTTGTTCCGCCTCCCTCCTTTCCTTTTACGTCCGCCTCTTTCGTGTTGTCGTTCTGTCTCTTCTTGCTTACGCCTCCCGTTCTGCCGTCGTCTGGGTCTCCTTGGGAGCCCTTCCTTTGCTAGCAGCCGTGGGGCATGCTGGGCTGCAACCTGCATTCAATACTGTGCGCTGTTATTCCGCCTGTGTTGCCTTTGATGGGGGTGGTCGGTTGGACCATGTGGGAATGCACACACACACACAGAGAGCCAACATCACGCTCTCACCTCGTTTCTCTTCCGCTCGTCCTGCTCCTCCTCCTCCTCCTCCTCCTCCTCCTCCTCCTCCTCCTCTCCGTTTCTCCACCCCGTCTCACCGATATGATGTGGGGGATCTTCGTATCGCACGGTTTCGCTTAGTGACCGTTCTCCTAAGCAGTGGCGAGAACCAGCGTGTTGGTTCCGTTTGTGCTGAATTGCTGTCCTGCTTATTCCGTGCTCTGTTTTGTCCGGTTCATCCCAAAGCCCCCTGGAGGGGATGTGGATTACGATTCATGGTTCGATTTTTTGGTTTGCGTCTGTCGGTCTATGGGGGGGGGGCAGGATTTGTCCGCCCTGGCCGGCGCGCGTTGCAGGCAACGTGGTCGATGGTACAAAAAAGGTGACTGGGTCGGGACTCCCGGGGACCGCGTATTGAAAACATCTGGACGTCGAATGTCTGGGTACATCACCTTCTTCTTGACATGTTTCATGACCCCGCCGCGCTGTGCATTTAGGCTTGGGGCTCCTCGGCCGCCACTCTCCTTGGAGCTTGGCGTGCCCTTCGCTGTCTCGCTGGTACTTCCTGGCTCCTCTGCTGGCTGCGATACTCGTGGCGCGCAGCATGGCGCCGGAAGGAAATCCGAAGACCCACTTTCAATAGGCAGAGCAGAGATCGGCAGGTATCCGCTGGCGCCACAAAAAAAAACTTCCTGGCTCCTCAGGTCAAGCGCGCTCCATGAGATCCGTGCGATGTTTTTGTTCCACGCCGGGCGTTTGCGCCCGGGGTGTCGGGCCCTGTGACCATCACAGATCGACCGGGCTCGAAACCATGTTGCAGAACGAAGGATGGGGTTCAGGGCTCGGCTTGTGATCTTTCATGATGTTGCATCTTGTAGCGAAACAGGTCAGATCTCAAGGCTGTGATCTGAGGTGTGTCCGATTTGTTCGGTGAGAGAGGTTCCTGGATCATGATGGCCGCTGGAATGTCATTCAGCTTCAAGGCCAAGCCTGCATGCGGTCCCCGTGGTACGTCTTGCGCTGGGGTGGAAAATTTGACCAGCGGGGAGAAACTTCAAGAGCATAACCCGAAGTCGAGCAATCCTGAGGAATCCTGAGGTATCCGATAGATTTCCATACGAAGCCGATGGATATCCCAAGGAATCTTAAGGGATTTCTAAGGAATCCAATCGATTTCCCTGGGATGCCGATGAAAATTCTAAGCAAGCCGATGGGTTTCCATAGGATTCCGATGGACCTCCCAAGGCATCCCATGGATTTCCGAAAGAATCCTATGGATGTCCATGGGGTTATGATGGATTTCCTTAGGGATCCGATGGGTTTCCTCAGGGATCCACTCGATTTCCTCGGGATTCCGATGGCTATCCTTAGGCATCCGACTGGTTTCTATAGGATTCCGATGGATGTCCTAAGGCATCTTATGATTCCCCTATGGAATCGTATGGATTTCTTCAGGGGTCCTATCGATGTTCTTAGTATTCCCATGGCTATCCTCAGGAATCCTATGGATGTCTATGGGATTCCTTCAGGCTTCCGAAAGAGTCCTATTGATGTCCTAAGGGATCCTAAAGGTGTCCTGAGGAATCCTATGGTTTTCCTAAGGAGCCCGAATGATTTTCGAAGGAATCCGATGGGTTTCCGAACGGAATTCGGATGTACGTCTTAAAGATTCTTACGGACGTCCAGGATCATCTTTATCAGTAGCATCGTCATCATCTTCATCATTGTGCTGGGATCTCCGGGAAAACGTTTATTATCCCTGCTGGACCCCGAAGTTTATTCTTGACGCTTCGCGTATCCCCACCAGCCCATCCTACACCAGGCGTTCGAACGAAGAGCGCCGATGATCGGCAGCTGTTCTCCTCCCCCTCTTCCTCCTCCTCCGCCTTCTCCTCCTCCTCTTCTCCTCCTCCTCCCTCACCTCCTGCTCCTCCTCCTCCTCCTCCTCCTCCTCCTCCTCTTCCTCCTCATCTTCCTCTTCCCTGGTGGCGTCTTGGAAGTATCTTCGAACGTTTGAGTGGGCTCTTGGGCCTTGCGGGCGGGCGGGCGACGCTCCGCCCGCCCGCGCGCAGGGCCCAAGAGGGGGTCCAAGACGTCTCTCGGAGCCATCTTGGAGGAGATCGATCAACGAAGGGGGGTTCCTAAATTTCAGCCCCCCCCTCAGGAGCCACGATCCTCGTGAGGGGTGTCGAATTTTAGCCCTCCCAGGGGTCGATCTTGGACGCTCTGACCGATCGCGGCCCCCCCTGTCCAGGTCAGTGGGGAGGGGGTAGGGGGAGGGGTAAACCCCTCCCCGAAGGGGAAGAAGGAGGGGTGGAATTGGAAACTCGTTAAACCACCGACGCCCTAAAGGGCTGGTGGGATTATCCCCAGGGGATTGATATCGCGAGCAGTTGGTTGTTCTTCCATCCCATGGAGAGTTGGTCTAAGGCGATGGTGATCAGGCCTACCTTCACTCTTTGCATCCTCCATATCAGCACTGCTTCTGGAATGCGCTCTTGCCCGATCCGTCAGGCAGATGGGCTGCAGTCAACAGGTCAGGTTTGGAGACTTCGTAGGTGCCCCCATCAGTGCCCTTCGCACCCCGCCCCGCCGGTGTGGCAGGCGTCCACGTGATCTGCGAGTGCCCCTATTGACGGCGTAGCTTCATCGACTCTGTCTCTGTGGCATTGCCAAGAAGGTGGTGCTCCGCTAGGCCGATAATGTAGAAACTCGGACATGCCCTCCCTAGTGGCGCACCTTCTCGCCGTAGTTTGTGACATTCGCGAGGAGCACGCGACCCGTGCGACCCGCGGCAGACGTGCGGCTGCCTGGGCGAGCAGCGTCTAGCTTCAGGCTGCCCCCTCGGCTTGCCGTCGGCTGCACCGCCCTGAGCGCCGCCGTCGCCTCGACGTGCATTCTGGCTGCTTCTGGGCCCGTGGAGTCGACGGGCTTCTCGCCGTTCTGTCGTTGTTCTTCTGATCCTGCAGCCACCGATCGCCGTGCAGCGCCCTTCTTTTTTTCTTTGCCGCTGTGTGGAGGCGCTGGAGCCCATCCGCTGTTTTCTCGAGGTTCTTGCACAACTCTTCCGCCGGCTTGGCACGTTGCGTTCCTGGGCTGCCATGGGATCCCCCGCTTCCCCGTTCTCCGTCCCTTCTCTCTCTCTCTCTTTCTCTCTTTCTTTTTTTTTTTTCTCTCTCTCTCTCTCTCTCTCTCCCCCACCCGCTCGTCTTACTCACTACCCAGTCCACTTCCCAGCTCGTCTTTGCTAAACACGCCCATCGCTACCCGATCGTCACGGGTGGGGAGGGGGCGGCGCGTCCTTTTCCTCCTCTTCCTCGTCCTTCTTGTCCTTTCTCATTCCTCCCTCGTCCCACGCAACTCTCACACACCCCTTCCTCATCCTCCCCAGCCCGGAGGGAGGAATGAGGATGCGGAGGGTGCAGGATAAGGAGGCAGAGAGAGGCATGGGAGAGCGGGATGGGGAGGACGAAGAGGAGGATTAATAGAGTGAGGAGGAGGGTTGGAGGGAGGATGAGGAAGAGAAATAGACACAATATGATCAGACATTGGCGATACGGATTCAGGCGATGGCTTGACGATATGATGATTATGATGATGACGACGACGACGACGACGACGATGATGATGATGATGATGATGGTGATGATGATGATGATGATGATGATGATGATGTGGTCATGGTGATAACGATGCTGACGACCAACTCCGATGATGGTTCTGACGGTGATAGTGATGGTGATGATGACGACGATGGTCATGAGGGTGTTGACGATGACCAGGATGTCGGTTTTGCTGACGATGATGTTCATGTTGATGATGATGGTGATAGTATTGGCATTGGTGGTAACTGCGGAGACGACGAATAGATGTTCATCACGCGTCTGAGTATGATGTGACGATGAAAGTGGTGATTTTAGATATGCCTATGCGTTGGATGGTAACGGTGACTGTATGGGCATTTACGATTGCGGCGACGATGTTGATAGCTTTCTGGGGATGGGTATGACGATGACTACGGCCACGATGACGCTGATTGTCAGGACGACGGCTGCGAACATGGAGTTGCTGATGCGAAGCCATAGCACGAGCAGGAACAGGATAATGGGCAGCACGAGGCGGGATGGTGGGAGGGGTCAGGAGGAATGCGGAGGGAGGGAGTGTGAGCAGGAGGAAGAGGAACCAACAAAATGAAGAAGGAGGACGAGGAGGGATTATAGCAGAGGGAGAGGTCGTCAGCCACTTCCGCGACGCTGCCCCGGGGACGGACCTTTGGTGGGACCGGAGCGTCATCGAGCAGATCGCCTGGCGGGTTGGCGCGAGGACGTCGTCGTCGACCTCTTCCTCTTTATCCTATTCCTTATCCTTCTTTCTCCTCCTCCTCCCTCATTTTCTCTCCTTGGCCGTCCCTCCTCATCCCTTAGGTTTTTAACGATTTCGGGAATCTCGCCTTTTCGGACTTCCGACGCTCCAAGACGGGCCCAGAGGCTCCCAAGACCGCCCCAATGCGGCCCAGCAGGCCCCCCGTAGCCATTTGGGCTCAGGGTGATTCCAGGCACTTTCTATACGGTAGGTTTGCGTCGTGTCGACCAGCGGCGACCCCAGCGCGGGCGTTCAAGGTTGAACGCCGCCGGCGACCCAGAATCGATCGATGTTGAACGATCGGACGTTGCGGCAGCGGCCGATCGTTCAAGGTTGAACGATCCCTGCGGTGTCAAAAACCAACGCTGGGGTCGGCACGACACGAACCTGCCGTATCCCCCAACGGGCGACACAGCGGATCTGACCCCCCCGGGAAGACACCATTGTGATGTGCATGATCAGGAAAGGGGAGCTGTGCACATAGGAGGAATAGGTGGTGGATGAGCCAGAGGATGAGCAGGAGACGAGGAGGAAGAGGAGGAAGAGGAGGAGGAAGAGGAGGAAGAGGAGGATGAGGAGGAAGAGGAGGAAGAGGAGGAGGAGACGGACCAGGAAGGAAGGAATGGGGATGAGGAGGAGGAGGAAGAGAAGGAGGAGGACGAGGAGGAGGACCTGGGGACGGCAGCGGAGGGGAAATGATTGTGGAGACAACGCGATGAAGAACGACTCTGGCTCTGACAAAGTGGCCTGCGCTGTGGCGATATCGCCGTTTTGGACGACAGGAGCAGAGCGCCGATCCGACAATGAGGCTCACGCCGAAGCGGCAGCACCATATTTTGGAGGACCAGAGACGCTCGGATGCAACAATCACGTCATTAAGACAAACCAATTCGGACCCATCTTGTGTGTGAAAAGCGATGCTCGGAGGGGTGCGCGCCTCTCTCAGAACGTCTCGGGGGGAGGTCATAATAGTAGTCATACTGTATACCTGTGGAGTGGAGGGGGTGCGAGGGAGGGAGTGCCGACGGGGGGGGGAGGGAGGGCAGAGAGGTCACGGATGGAAGGGGGAGGGGGAGGGGCAGGGGATTGGAGGGGAGCGCGTGCGTGGGCCTGGAGAAAAGACTGGTCTACTCTATAAGAACGGTTTTTTGAAGGCAGATCTGCCTTCAATGTAAGAACGGTTTTTTGAAGGCAGATCTGCCTTCAAAAAACCGTTCTTACAGGGGGGATGGGAGGGTGTCGAGGCAATGGGCGGTTTGGGAGAGACAGGGCATCGGGAGCGGAAGGGGGCGGTGGCAGCAGATGGGCCGGGCGAGCGCCCCATCCAGAGCAACATGCCGCCCTCCTCCTCCTCCTCTTCCTCCTCCTCCTCCTCCTCCTCCTCGTCCTCCTCCCCCTCCTCCTCCTCCTCCTCCTCCTCCCCCTCCTCCTCCTCCTCCTCCTCCTCCTCCTCCTCCTCCTCCTCCTCCCCCTCCTCCTCCTCCTCCCCCTCCTCCTCCTCCTCCTCCTCGTCCTCCTCCTCCTCCTCCTCCTCCTCCTCCTCCTCCTCCTCCTCCTCCCCCTCCTCCTCCTCCTCCCAGGGTGTCTCGACATCGGCGCTCTGCCTGCGGTGGCGCAGGCCATCACTCGCCACCAGTTGTCATTCCATCTGAGCGAGCTGCGATGGTCGAACTGCGGAGCTTGGAACATGCGAGGGCCATCCATGATACACAACAATGCATGGCTTGGCAGGTGGTGTCCGGGTCTTGGGTGGTATAATTGACAATCGTGTTCTTTTCCGGTGGATTCCAGTAGCGATGGGAGCACACACGCCCAGACTGGAGAACAAAGCCACACATATCACACATCGAGAACAATCATTCCATTTGTGAATGAGCAGTGCAGAGTGCTAAGTTTTCAAGTCAGCATTTGGGACCGAATTCGCTGGTCGAGCGACTCCTGGGGCAGGATGTTTGCTGCAGTCGCAGAAGTGTTTAACAGAAGTTGTACCGGAGACAGCTTCGGAAGCGATATCCGTGATCTACATGATGCGATGGGATGCGCTCGCCGACTCAGAGCGCCTCCTTCAGGTCAAATAGGGCATCGGCCTGCCAGCAGGTGCCTCACGGAAGCTTCGTATCCCTGAATGGCCTTGGGTGTCACAGAAGCCTTGGGGGGTGGCATCTCGGAAGCTCACATCTCGACGAAGAATGCGCGACGAGATTTCGTTTTGCATGATTTCTGATCGTGCGAGGCCGCTGTTTTCTGCTGGAGGAGCAGGGTGTTGCCACTGTATTCCTTCGCGGCCCCGTGAGAGAGGGGAGACGCGAGAGGCTGGAGGAGGCAGGTGGGAGAGGGGAGGAGGCAGGGGAGGACGCATGATGAAAATGGTGGTGACGATGAGGGAGAAGGAGCAGCGAGGAGGAGGAGCGAGGAGGACCGAGCGAGGAGGAGGAGAAGGAGGAGGCCCAGCAGCAACAGCAGGCCTCTGGCGATACTCCCCCGCGGCCCCCGAGGACGGACGCCGCGCCTGCCGAGCAGCCCGAGGGCTTCTCGCCCCTCGCCCGGCTGCGGAAGACCTTCCGCTTCCCGCGGGAGGTGCCGTGCTGAGAGGGGACACGCGGGCGTCGGCCCCATTTCAGGAGGGGAGAAAACACACAGACACAATTTATCGTCGATCCCCAGGAAAATATATGAAAATATGGGAAGTGTGGGGGGGAAGACAAAAACCCAGAAAATATGGGAAAATATAGGGAATATTTTTATTTGTGTGTATTTATGTGTGTGTTCTGGGGCCCCTTTACCAGTGCCCGAGCCCTGTGCTCCGTCCTGCTGCCGGCGTCGTCGCCGTCCTGCTGCTTCCCCTCCCCCCCAAGGTCACTCCTCGGTCCTTCCCTCCCCCTCCTCCCCCTCCTAGCGCTGGCGAAGCGACGTGCTCCCCGCAAGAACCACTCTCGAAGGGGGGCTCTCAGGAACCTGAAGGCCAAGGCCACCACGCTCGCGAAAGACGAGGTGCTGCGAGATCTGAGGAGCATGCAAGCCAGCGCGGACAGCTCGGACGAACACACTCTTCGAGTCCAGCGGAATAGCATCAATAGCCGCTTGGCCAAACTTACCCGCAAGACCCAAGGCTTCGGGGTGGACGCCATGGCAAGCAACGATCGGACGGTTTTCACCGACTCGCACCGCATCGCAGAGCTACTCTGTGAGCAACAAGGACATACATTCAGACACATTGCATGATGGGCTTCGCTTCGCCGGGCTCGCAGGGTCAGGCCGCGTGAAGGGCACCGTGCGTTCTTGGCGGCTACGGACTACTGATGTCGCGCGGGCTTTGCGCATTGCTTGGAGCTCGAGACCCGAACCCGACGGTGTACCATTTGGGGCGTGGAGACGGTTGCGCAACTTCGGAGCCCATCTACTTTGGGAGGCGGGGCGATTCTTGGAAGGAGGGCTTACTGCTGGGGTCATGGAGCACGACGCCTCCAACGAGCCGCTACTGGTCCGCATGCCGAAACAACCCGCGCGATAGCGAGGATGACACTAACGTCTACAAGGCTGGATCAGCACGACCATTGTCCATCACGAACACGGATAACCGTAGCATTGCGAACGCTTACAGGCTTCGTTGGGGGCAGTTCATAGCACCTGCTACGGGCACGATACAGCGCGGTTTTATTCCCAATGTGGTGGAAATTGTGCACGAGGCAATTCGGGCTTCCTTTTGTGCGAAGTATGCCGTGGTCATTCTCTTCGATTTCACCACTGCCTTTCCCAGCGTCTCACGCTCTTATGTGATGGCGTCCGCGGCAGCGGCCGGGCAGCCAGGAATTGCCACAACACGGTTGCCAGATTCACGGTGCACGGCTAGATGCGTTCGCGGGTGCCCACGACGGCCGGAATAAGACAGGGTTGCCCTCTATCTCCACTTTTGTTCGCCCTGGCACTAGAGGGGCTGCTGCGAGCGCTTGCTCACCGACACGTGACCGCTACTACAAGAGAGCTGGCGGATGACACGGCGATGGTTCTTCGGTCATGGCGCCAACGGTGAAACAGGTATTCATGACTTTTGCCGCTTTCGCGGCGGACCCGGGGCTGAATCTCAACCTTTTCAAAAACCGTGGCAATCCCGCTTTGGGAGGAGGATGGAAGAGGATCCTGCGGCCATCAAAGACCGCTTGCTCGGAGACCTGGACAGGCCCCATATTGAGTGGGACTCGACCGGCAAATACCTCGGCTTCTACATCGGCCCCGGTAAGGATATCCGCTTGCGGCGCAACCCCGTGGAGAAGTACGAGGCTCGTCTACTCGACTGGCCATGGGCCGAGATGGGCCTCCACCCAGCACTGCAGACATACAAGGTGTACTTCCGACCTGTGCTCCTGCACGTCGCCCAGCTGGAGCGGCCGCCAGACGGCGTGGCTGAACTTGACTCCCGGGCAGCGCGACGTGTAGCGCCTGGGCCGGGCGGGTGGTGTATCCCTTCCGATCTACAGCACGGACCAGAGTTCGGGCTCGCGCGCCGACCTCGCCCTGCTGTCGTATCCTGCGAAGCGGCCATGCTCCGCATGCGCGCTGGGGAGGGGGAGCGCCGCGCTGGGGGAATCGCGTGGACTCATTTACGGGACGAGCTCTTGCTGGCAAGGCGACGCACTGCCTTCCTGACTTGCTGGCATGCTGGCACGGGTGGTGCGCACTCCACGTCCCCACGTTTTTCCAGGGGGCTCGCCGACGCTGCCGCCAACCGCCAGATCAGCACGTTAGAAGTCAGGGCCGACATCGCCGGCGTCCCATGTGGCCCACTCTCCGAAATGGCGGACAGTGCTGTCCACAGGTGCGCAAAATTGGTTCGCCCGCCAGCTGCTGGCCCAGGATGGCGTCTGCCCAGAATTGCGCCCACGCTACAAGATGGCCCAGTGGCGGCTCGCGGGGTTCCTGGGCGTCGCTCGATTTATCCACCGAAATCTTCAACGACTGAAAAAGCTTGCTCCACCAAGGGTGCGTTCAGCGATGATCGGCACCTTATTCAACCGATGGGCAAATGACAGGCGCTTGCGGCCACAATGGGCCAGAGATGGGGGGGTGCAAAATGGGGTGCCCAGGTTGCGCCGAAAACTCGCTCGAGCACTGCGTTCACTGCGGAATCATTCGCCAGTGAGCCGCAAGCCGACTCCGGAGCCCGACGCGCAGCAAGGAACAGCGGATGCTTGCGGTGCCGATGACCCACGACAAATTGGGGCGGATCGCTATTGTAAATTTCTTAGCATAAAGCACTACGCAGCACCTTAGGCACATGCCTGGGCCCATGCCTGAGTACATCGCGCACTACGTGCACCAGATGTTTCATGAAGCGTTGCGCGACTCAGGCCGTCTACGCGCGCTTGCAGGCGGCACGCGCGCGACTGCCAAGAGACGGGCTTTGACGTTGACGACTTTGATTTCTGATTGTACCTCGCCAGTTCTTTGCCGCGCTTTCAATTCATAGTTTTTTCCCCTTCGCCAGCTGACCGCTACAGAACGCTCTTGTACTCTACGGCGATAGTATTTTCTCCATGTAGACTGCGATGCATGCTTGTGCTCTTCGACAACGCTGGCCGGCATCCGCTTCGACAGTGCCGCCGCCCGCCGCCCGCGCTGACACGGCCGCCGGCTCTGGCGCCAACATCAGCGCCGCCGCCCGCGCTGGTGCCAACGACAGTTCCTACCCCAACGCCGGCGAAAACGCCCGCGCCTACGCCCGCGGCAAGGCCGACGCTGGGGCTTCCGCCAACGCCTGCGCCGGCACAGACGCTAACAAGAACGCCGGCGCCCGCGCTAACACCAACGCCAGCGCCAATGCCAGCGTCCACGCTTGCTCCGAGGATCATGCCCAAGAACCGCCAACCCCTGGTCCTACGCTTGCGCCGATGACGACGCGCCTGAGCCGCCGCAAGTGCCGACGCCGGCACCGACGCCAGCGCGTGTGACTGTGGCGCCAGCACCATTGCCGTCGCCTACGCCGAGGGAGCAGGCGGCACCAACAGCGTCGACTTCAGCACCGACGCCGGCACCGACCTCTGCTCCAGGGGGCGCGACTTTTCCGCCTCATTGGCGCCGACAGGATGCGCCAACACATAGTCATAACGTAGCGCTTAGGAATTCCAGTGGTTCCACATGCGTGCGAGGACGCCGTTAGGTTGCGCCGCGACACCGGCTCGCGGCGGTAGATTAGTCGGCAACTACTTCAGCACAACCGTCGACGCCTAAGCCTGCGTCGACGCCAGCGCCGACGCCAGCGTGCGCGCCGGCGATTGCGCCAGCACCGACGTCAGCGCTTACGCCATCGCCGACGCCAGCACCGTCGCCTGCACGAATGCCAGCGCCTGCACTGGCACGCGCGAGTGCGCCTACTCCAGCACTAGTGTCATCGCCGACGCCAGCGCAATCCTCGTCGCCTACGCCAGCACCGACGCCAGCATGGGGGCCTGCGGTGGCACTGGCACCAACGGTGGTGCCTACACCAGGGCCGTCGCCTACATTGACGACAGAACGAACGCCAGCGCCTGCGTCGGCACCCAAAGGGACACCCCGTTGCACCAGCGCCGCTGTCACCACCGACGCCAGCAACAACGCCCGCGCCTATGGCAGCGCCGACGCCAGCGCGATCGCCTGCGATGGCACCCGCATCAACGCTAGCGCCGACGCCAGCACCAACGCCAGCACGAACGCTGGTGCATGCGCCGGCACCCATTCCAGCGCCTACACCAGCACCGACGTCATCACAGACTCCAACACCAATGCCGACGTATACACCAGCACCGGCAGTAGCCCGAACGCCTTTGATAGCGTCGGCTTTAACGCGATCGCCTGCCACAGCTCCAGCGCCAGCGCCATCTGACGCCAGCGCGAGCGCTGGCGCCTGCGCTGTTACTAAAGCCAGCGCCTGCATCAGCACTAATCACTAATGTCATCGCCGGCGCCAGCACCAACGCCAATGCTTACCTCTGCACCGACGCCAACACCGACGCCAGCAGAAACGCCAGCGCTCACACGAGCGCCGCCGCCAGCATCGGCGCTAGCAGGAACGCATTCGACTGCGCCGTCCCCGACGCCGGCGCCAGCGCTGACGCCTGCACTGACGCCAGCACTGACGCCAGCACTGGAGCCAACGCTGGCTTCCCTTCCGACGCCTGCTTCAACGGAGACCCCAGCCGCGCCTCCAGCGATCGCCCCAACTCCGAGTTCGAGCTCGACTCCCTGATGCGGTTGACAATCTGTCTCCAGCCTCCAGCGCCGGACACTCCGTTTCCACCTCCGACCTCTCCGATTTCGAGGCCGACTACCACATCATCAGCAACGCAATTCGTGACATTTTCCCTGCGTCTGGGAGCGCTTTGTATCTCAGGCTGCCGCCCCGACTTCGCGACGTTTGCATTGGCCCTCTTTGCGAGTGATGGCTCAAAAACGACTAAGACAAAAGGTTGCCGCGCCGGCTCCGCAGCATTCACACTAGGCCCGGCTTTGTCTCCGACTCCAGGACTGGCGGCCTGGCCAGCGCCGGCGCCGTCGCCAACGCCACCGCTTCTCACCAGCGCCAACCCCAGGGCCAACGCCAATGCCGACGCTGGCGCCTACGCGAACGCCAGCGCCGACGCCGACGACAGCATCAACGTTGGAGCCTGCGGCAGCACCGCAGCCAGCGCAAGCGCCAGCGCCGACGCCAGCAACGGCGACAGCGCACCAGTGAGCCACTCAGCGCACCGATGTTCAGGCGCTCGCGCTGGCGCCCCAGCTGAGCATTAACGCCTGCGCCAGCGCCGGCTCCAATGCAAGAGCTACGCCATCGCTGACGCCAGCGTCGACTCCTAACCAGGAACGCAACGGCCTCCAATGGCTACCTTCGCGCATACATCGGCGCTCTGGCGGAATGGGCTTGCAGCCGACTCAGGCTCCAACTTCTACGACTTCGGTTCTGGCCTCTTCGGACTCCGGGCCTACATTAAATTCTCGGGGGAGCGTAAGACCCGGGTCTGCCAGGACCCGGGTTCGCCATCGTTTTTTGACGACCGCGCCTCGGATTTTGACGAGTAGGAGTTTTCGTGGGATGTCTGCAGCGGGAGGCCTCGTCAAAATGCAGGCTCGGCCTCGTCATTTTTATGAGGGCCCCGTCGGGGATTTCCGAGTCCCCCGCACCCGGGTCTTACGTCTCCCCGAAATTCGACCAGCTCACCGACTCCCGCGCCGACCAGCTCACTGACGCCCGCGCCGACCAGCCGGCGGCTCCTGCACCGACCAGCTCGCCGACTCCCGTGCCGACCAGCTCGCCGACCCTCGCGCCGACCAGCTTACCGACCTCAGCGCTGGACAGCTTGAGAGTTCCATAATCCAGCTCACCCTCCTCGCTCATCGACCAGCTTGCCGACCAGCTCGCAGGCTCCCGAGCCGATCAGCTCACAGGCCCACGCGCCGATCAGCTCGCCGACTCCCGCTTCGACCAGCTCGCCGACTCCCGCTTCGACCAGCTCGCCGACCCCCGCGCTACCTGCTCGCCGACAGTGTCCCAAGACCGACTTCCTGGGCTACCGTGCGAGAGTGTCGACGCCAGCGCCGACGCCAGCATCAACGCGAAGCTGGTGTAAGGCTCGGCGGGCCAGCGACTGTGGAGGATATCGCAGGAGACAGCTGGCGAGCAGCTGGATGCCACCATCGGGGGCGCGCAGAGCGTGGAGGAGCAGCAGCGCCCGTGAAGCCACCCTCCTTCCCGCTTTCTTCCTCTTCCTGTCCTTTTGCTTCTCCTCGCCTTGCTTCTTTCTGCGCCCTGCATGTTTTTCGAATGTATTGGTGGTCCGCGGGCTATCGTTTGCATTTGCTGGGCCTCGCTCTGGTCGCCGGCAGCCAACCCTAGCCTCGGCGCTGGGCTTGCCCTCCCGCCGCCTTGATAGGCTCTTGCGTGGCGGTTTGCCTCCACGCAGCGACATCATATAGACAATACTTGTTTTGGTTTCCCCTCTGTGTGCTGTAGTTGGGCTACTCTGCCCCCCGCCTCCTCCCTCTTCGCCGTCGTCCCCTGTCTTGCTATTCAATGGCTGATATTTGGGGCCCGCGTTGAGGAATTCTTGCGGACTGCGTCCTTTGTTGGCCACTCTGGTGGGTGCCTTCTATGTTCGGCCGCACGTCGCTCGGAGTCTACAGCTGCGGGTGGCTACCATCGCGTCTGTTCCCCTCCCCCCCCCTTCCCTGCTTTCCTCCGGCGTGCTGCTGTGCGTTGCTACGTGTTTTAATGAGCGGCCGTTCGGGCTGCTGCGGGGCCTAGGACAGCGCCCTCTCCCCTTTGGTCCTCTCCCCTCGTCCTCCTCGTCCTCGTCCTCCTCGTCCTCGTCCTCCTCGTCCTCTCCCCTCTCCTCCTCTCCCCTCGTCCTCCTCCTGCTTCCTCTTCTGTGTGCCATTTCCCGCGCTAGTTGCCCTGCCGCTCTTCAATAGCACGTGGTGGCGCAGCCCTGCTGCGGTGATCCGCTTCGCTTTTGAATCATTGTGTCGTCGCCCTCGTTTTTTTTTTTTTTTTTTTTTGTTTTCTTTCTTTTCTTTTTATATATATATATAATAAAAAAAAAAAATCCTCCTCCTCCTCCTCCTCCCTCCTCCTCCTCCTCCTCCTCCTCCTCCTCCTCCTCCTCCTCATCCTTCTCCTCGTCCTCCTCCCTCCACGTCCTCCTCTCTCCACGCCCTCCTCCCTTCACGATCTCCTGCTCCTCCTCCTCCTGCTCCTTTTGCTCCTCCTCCTCCTCCTCCTCTCTCCTCCTCCTCCTCCTCCTCCTCCTCCGTGTCCTCTTCATCCCCCCCCGTGTCCTCCTTCTCCTCCTCCTCCTTCTCCTCCTCCTCCGCCTCCTCCTCCTCCGCCGCCTCCTCCTCCTCCTTTCTTCCTCCTCCTCCTCCTCCTCCTCCTCCTCCTCCTCCTCCTCCTCCCCCAACGTCCTCCAAGCAACTCCTCCCTGTCCACGCATTTTGCGTGCGACGTCCCCACCACGCACGGTCCTGAAGCTTGGAGAACTTGCGGGCAGCTGCACGTATGGAGTGCGGGCGGTTTTGAATGCGTGGTTCTCGCCCTAACGCCGCGCACACCCGTCTTGAAAGAGTTGCACGGATGAAGGGCGGTGTCGTGTTCACGTCTTAACGCCGCGCACACCCGTCTTGAAAGAGTTCTCGCCTTAACGCCGCGCACACCCGTCTTGGAAGAGTTCTCGCCCTAACGCCGCGCACACCCGTCTTGGAAGAGTTCTCGCCCTAACGCCGCGCACACCCGCCTTGAAAGAGTTTCATGGATGAGGGGCGCTTCTCTTGTCGAGCGTTGTTTGTCGCCCCAGCGCCGCGCACATTCGTTCAGGAGTCTACAGCAGTTTCAGGGACTTTTGTGGCTGGTGCTGTGGCATGATGCAAGACTGGTAGGGCCACCTTGATTCACGGTGCTGAAGTCCCAGGCATGGTGTTTTGGCACGGTTCAGGAGGTTCAGACGGTGGTCTTCCAACGGGGCGCTTCCCCTATTGAAAATAGCGTTTTGCAGGAGCATGTGCAGGGGGAACTTAAAGAGAGGGGTTGCTGCAACATCGTTGATGAGTCTTGGGTTTACGCTGGTCCTCCTCCTCCTCTTCCTTCTCCCTTCCCTTCCCTTCCCTTCTCGTGCTCCTCCCGCTCGTCCTCCCCCTTCCTCCCACCCTCGTGTCGGTCCTCCGCTTTCCCCTGATGCTGGACAGCTCCTATATGGCAGGTTTGCGCCGCGTTGACCCTACGTTGACCCCAGCGCGGGCCATCAAGGTTGAAAGCCGTCGCTGCCCAGAATTGGCCGACATCGAGCAATCTGCGCAATCCGAGATGCGCGATCGTTCGATGTTGGACGATTCACGCGGCGTCAGAAACCAGCGCAAAGGTCTTGAACCCACGCGGTGTCGGACACCAGGGGCTCCGAATAGGCCCGAGCACGTCCATAGGCTTCGGTCTTCCTGTGCCGGAGATATCTGACCAGTGCCGCACTGTCGAAGAACAAACGATTGCATAATCTTCCCGTCGGCGGCGAGACAGAGTTGGCTGCTGGTGGCACCGAGAAGCGAATTGGCCAGCGTGCAAGAGCGGGGAAAAGACAGACTAGGCGGCCGCGGGGAGCGGGGGAAGAGGAGGCCGCTGAGGGGCGGTTGCATAAACATCAATTGTTGGAGATCCGCGCGGATTTCTTCGATCGGAGCTGGGGCCCTTCTGGCGGCGCCTGCGGCGCCGCCCCTGGCGCGATCCGCGCGCCAGGGAGGAGGGAGGGGTGCCCAGCGCAGATCCAAGAAATCCGTGCGGACCTCCGAAAGCTTATGCTTAGGCCGTGTTCTGTTTTTTCTGTGCAAGGCGACACGACGCGAACCTGCCGCATGCTCAGGCCCCGCTCGCCCTCCGCCGAGCGTGCCAGCGGCCCAATGCGGCCGCGGCAGACCCCCGCCGTGACCACGGACGCGGCTCCTCTGTGACCGCGCCTCGGCCCTGGCTGCTCGCGGCAGCGGTTGGTAGCCTGCCGGCGGTGCGGATCGAAGTTCTCAGGCCGCCTCGCATCGCGGACAAATCAGCACGGGCGCCGTTCGAAGGACCCGCGGCCGGTGCCGCCCACCCTGAAGGGGGACAACGACGACGACGACGACGCTTTGGCCTCTTGGTGCCACCTTAGTCGAGATTTTCGGGGCATGCGGATGGCCAAGCAAATTTGGAGGAGAATGCGTAGGTGGAAATGAGGGATGGAGATTCGGTCGAGGAGGAGGGAGAGAAGGGCGAGAAGGAGGAGGGCTTGGAGGACGGAGGGAAGGCGGACTAGGAGTAGGAGATCGGGGGAGCAGCGTTGAGGGATGAGGGAGGAGGATCGTGAGGTCGAGGATGAGTTGGAGGAGGGAGATACGGCCGAGAGGGAGGAGTACCAGAGCCGACACAGACATATCAAGCTAAGTCCAACAGTCGACCCGGGTGGCACCGAGGACCTGGAGTTGTTGCGATCAGTTGCTGCTATCCTCTTCGATCCGTCCAGGGAATGACCTGGCGCTCATGGGTGCTCGGGCCCAGCAGGCAGCTGCCGTCTACCCGGCCACTACGGGCCTGTCTGCGGTCACTTGCTCAATGGTAGGAGGAGGAGGAAGAGGAGGAGGAGGGAGAGGAAGAGGCGGAGGAGGAGGAGGATTCGGAGGAAGATGAGGAGGCGGAGGAGGATGGGTCAGGGTGGTCGCGGGGCGGGAGGAGGAGGATGTTTGGACTGCTCTCCCCCTCCTCCGCCTTTCCCCCTTCTCTTCCTCCAACTTGCTCCTCCTGCTCCTTGTGATCATGCTCTGCTTGGTGCACCTGCTCTTTCTCGCCCTTCTCCGCAGCCTTCGTCTATGGCCTACCTACTTCCCCCTGATCCGCATCGTTGTGCTCTGTCCTCCCTCCATATCTGCCTTGTCCTTCCATCTGTCCCTCCTCCCGCCCTCATCGTACTGATCGCCGTTCTCCAACTCCCCTTCCCCCTCCAGCACGAGACGGGTGAGCATCGGCAGCAATACGAAGGGTAGCAGGACTGAGCGCCCTTTAATTTAAGCATGGAGCTTTGGCGTTGACGATTGAACCGTGTTGTCCCTCTCCTGCTCCCCGCGCATCTCCTTGTCCCTCTCCCCTCGGCATCGTCGTCGCGGGGCCGCCGCCGTCGTCGTCGCCGCTGCCGTCGTCGTCGCCGTTCTCGCCGTCGTTGTCGTCGCCGTCGCTCGCTGCCGTCGTTGCTATCATCGTCGAATTCGTTGCCGTCGTCGCTTCCGCTGTCGCCGCTCGCCGTCGTCGCAACCGTCGTGGTCGTCTTTGCCGTCGTCGTTGCCGTCGTCGCCTCCGTCGCCGCCGCCGCCGCCGCCGCCGCCGCCGTCGTCGTCGTCGTCGTCGTCGTCGTCGTCGTCGTCGTCGTCGTCGTCGTCGCTGGAAGCACCTCTCTGCTGGCTTCCGGGGTCAGAGCCCTCAGCCCCGCGCTCTCCGCCCGCGGCGCGCGCGCCCGCCTCGGGCGCGCGATGAGGGCGCCGCGGGCGTCGGCGCTGTGGTCGCTCAGGTGGGCGGCGAAACCTTCGCCCGCGGTGCTCCGCCCCGCCCCGGAGACCCGTCCTGGACGTGCCGGCGGGAGCCTGGCCGCAGCCCGGACCCGGGACGTCGCCGATCGAAGGGGCTCCGCTCGCCATGGACCGCCCCGGGCGGGGTGCTGCTCGGCCCCGTCTTCGAGTCGGGGAGGCAGGGGCGTCCACCTCTCCTTGCCGAGTGTGCTGCAGGTCGCGGGGATGGTGGCGGAGGTGGCACGCTTGCGCCACCCGCCCCGGGCGGACCGAGCTCTCGCGGATCGCGCGGCACTCCCGGCTGCCCGGCCGCCACGTCCTCGCCCTAGCGTGCGGCAGGCCCGCGTCGTGTCGTCGCGGCGGCGGTTCCGCCGAGGGCGTTCAGGTAGGAGTTTCGCCAGTAGCCCAGAATTGCTCATTATGGAATGACCTGGCGATCGAGAAGCCGCCGATCGTGTAAGGTTGAGCGATCCCTGCGGTGTCCCAGGATAGCCCATTGTGGAGAGAAAGTCGGGGCGATCGAAAAGCTGCCGCTCGTGCGAGGTTGAGCGACCCGCGCGGTGTCAGGAACCAGCGCCGGGGCAGTCACGACACGAGCCTGCCGTACTTCGCTCGCTTCTCCTGCGATCGATATGGTCTCGTGGCCACTGCTGTGACGCTCCGCTGGGCAGCACAGCGTGCGCTTCGGCATGCTTGTGGCGACGGCGGCCTCGTGCGGCTTGTGCTCTCGAGCTGTCGGTGCGGTTTGTTGCTCGCTGCGTTTTCCCACGACGGCTTTGGGTCTCCGCCCTCGAGCCACCGACGCAGGGGAGAGGCAGAGATTTGCAGCTTTGCAGGATTGGCGCTCGGTGGTCCTGTGGCGTGGAGGCTCGCGGGGGACGGCCTCGAAGTCGGGGGCTCCCAGAGGTGTCCCTGGCCCAAGACGTGCCGCCAGGACTCCCGAGGATGCGCCCATGGCCCTTCCGAGCACCCCGCACGAGGCCTGGAAGGCCCCGGGGCCGTCCGAATGGAGGGGGATCTGGGAATCACCTTGGACCAGGGACGCATTCCGCAACCCCCGACAACCCAAACAAAAAAAGGCCCGGCCCTGGCGTGCACTGGTGGTGGATGCGCCAGACCGTCGCTCAGGACTGGCCCCCCGAGAATTGGTGGTTGGATGGCGCCGGGCCCGTGAGGGAGGAGGAGGAGGAGGAGGAGGAGGAGGAGGAGGAGGAGGAGGAGGAGGAGGAGGGAAAGAGGAGGGAGGAGGAGGAGGAGGAGGAGGAGGAGGGAGGAGGAGGAGGAGGAGGAGGAGGAGGAGGAGGAGGAGGAGGAGGAGGAGGAGGAGGAGGGAGGAGGATAGCTGCGGCTGCGCTGCGTGCTCCGACCTCCTCTTTCTCGGCTCCTGGGGTCTCTTCGTTCCCGCCCGCTTCTCGGCGGGACGGAGGCCGTCCGGGGGGTCGACAAGTTTCCCTTTGATTGCCTTCCTGGACTCAAGCGCTCCCAGGCGCTCCCAGGTGCTCCCAGGCGCTCCAAGGCGCTCCCTGGCGCTCCCAGGCGCTCCCATGCGCTCCCAGGCGCTCCCAGGCGCTCCCCGGCGCTTTCGGGGTCGCTCCCAATGCTCCCAGGCGCTCCCAAGCGCTTCCAGTTTTTTTGTTCTTTCTTTCTTTCTCTCTCTCTCTCTTTCTCTCCCCACCTTAGGGACGTCCAATCCATTAGTTCCCCCCGGCTAGCCCACTCGCCCTGCCACTCCAGGCGAACCCACGGACAGCGCCACCATGCCAGCACGTTGGTTGGCAAACGGGTGGATGTTTGATCGCAGGTGGCGCCACAACCAGAGAGCTAGACACACTGACAAATGCACCACCAATGCTTGCCAACTTTCAGGTGTTACTCTTCTTGGGCGGGAGTTGGGCCGGCCATCGGGGCTCATTTCATTAAGCGCTACTGAGCGCGTGCAGGTACAAGGCTCGCAACCGAGCACAGCAAGTACCGCCAATTCGCAACCGCAGTGTGCCCTACTTCTGCCTACAGTGCCAGCCAGACATAACGAGCCGTGTATTGTAGCACTGCAAACCCTCCGCCTCAATCCGTGCCCTCTTGACTTCCACCTACCCATCTCTGGCATCAGAGTATACGACTTTAGAGCTACCGTCGTCTATCCAGCCGAACTACAGTACAGTCGAGACTCCATCAACCACATTTTCTCACTGCCGCAATCATGGCTGGTTTTCCTTGCGCCCGCTGTTCCACACAGCCGTTGCCACAACCGACTGCCCTGTTGCGACCCCCTGGCAACCGATGCCTGCGTGCACTTGAGAGTCTTCCGGGTACTTCCTTTGCAGCTTTTCGGCTACTTACTTCCTCGCAGCTGCCGGTGCCATCTCTCTGTCCTTGTCGAGCTTGCCTCAGATGATGGCTCCTTCCCTGTCGAGCCGTGACTTGTAACGTGTCTCGCACTGTCGAGGCGAGGCTCAGCTGCCTCCATTGCACCATCCCCACTAGCTCACCAGCTGCCAAGACTTTGTCGACCTGGGGGCAATACTGCCAAGATGGCATGCGCCTGCCGCATGCCAAGAGCTCGGCTCTGCCGCATGCCAGCGCCCTCCTGCTTTGAGCTTTGAACCTCCCGCTTGGTAAGCACCAGGACCTGGGTGTCCACTTCTCTCACTGCTGTGCCCTCTTCTGAGAGCACCTCCCCTCCTCCGCCCCTGCCCTCCCAGCGCTTTCACAGACGCAGTTGCCGTCAGCGCGCATTCCTGTCACACCCTACTTTCGGCCTGATTCTCGTGATCATGCTGACTGTGTGCAGGCCACGCCGTTCCCCTGTGCCCCCACAGTGCCCTCCGTTTTCTCGGCCTGTTGATTGCCTCGTCGTTCTCCCTGCATGTCTGCTGCGCGGTCATCCGTGGTGCTGCTGGTTTTCAGGCTCGGCGGCTGACGGTTTCGCACCGTTCACCAAGCGATTGGAGGAGAAGGATTGGGGGGACGGGAGCACGGGAAGGAACAGGAACACGTTGAGAAATGGAGGAGAAGGGATGATTGTGGGGACGGGAGCACGGGAAGGAACAGGATCACGTTGAGAAAAAGGGGGACACGAAGGACGAGGTCGGTGAAAGTTCTCGTCCTTGCCTCTGGCAGGAGGAGGAGGAGGAGGATGATGATGATGAGGAGGAGGAGGCGGAGGAGAAGGAAATCCAGCCTCTCTCGAAGCTTCCCTGCCTCCTTCTCCTCTGGCCCCCTCGTCGTCCTCCTCCGTCGCCTCCACTTTTCTTCGGCTCCCTGCCTCTTGCCCCTCTTTCTCCCGCTCCCTCCTTCCTCCTGTTCCTACCTCCACTTCCCTCCTCCTGCTCCTTTTCTCTCTTCCTTGTGCGTGTCCCCCCCCACTCCACAATTATTGTTCATTATGCTTGCGACTCTCCTTCTCCCCTGACTCTGCCGCGAAGGTGTCCAGCGGCCCTGTCTGCGTATTTGTTGTTGTTCCCCACCGAATTGCGAACCTGGTGTGTCTTCTTTTCCTCTGCGCAATATGATTGTTTCCGGAGTTTGAATATGCTGTTCCCGTTGCAGCATGGGCCTCGTTTTCGGGTCGGCTTTTTGCCCCCGCCGTTCAGAATGGCGCTTTCGCCCCAGCGCGGGCCACTGTTCTGGATCCGCTTCATTTTTCATCGTTGTCGCCCCCCCAATTCCCCTCCTCCGCCTTCTCCTGGTCCTCCTGCTCCTCCCGCTCCTTCCACTCCAGCTCCTGCTGCTGTTGTTGTTCGTCATCGTCCTCCTCCTTCCTCTCCTCGTGTTCCTCCTTCTCAGCCTCCTGCTCATCTGCCACCTCCTCTTCCTCCTCCCCCTCCTCCCACGCACGCAGCGCGATGATTCCCTTATGGGAGTTATAGGTCCGCCATCTTACGCGTCCTGGGATAGAGAAGAACGAGCAGCACAATGATAAGGGATAGGAGTGCTGGACAGGACGTCAGGTATGACGCGAGTGCACCAGGTTGCCTCCACCTTTCGCCCCTTACCCTCCTTATTCCCTCTCACCTCATCTGCTGCCGCTCCTCCTCCTCCCCGCTGATGGGCGTGGGCGGCCTTGCGCCCACAGGCTATCCCTGCTGGCCAGAGTCAGCGTCCATGTGCCCGTGGAGGCGCCAGCGCGGGTTGGGAAGAGGAAGACGCACGACGACATCAAAAAAAGAACGGGCCTTGCCTTCGAGGATCGAATCAGTTAGCATCTCTTCCTCGGCGGAAGGCGGCGGAAGGCTGGCGGAATCCAGCCGAAGTGATCTTTGGCGGCCTCTCCGCCAGAAGACCAGCGAAAGCCGGCGGAAGCAAACGATGCGCCTCCAAGAGAAGGCATGTTTTTAGGGGGTCGTCAAGGTTCCCAGGGTCGGCCATCTGGCAATGATCGTCGAACATCCAGGTTTCTTTCAGTTTTTGACCCTTGTAGGATTTCTTTCCAGGGGCCCCATCGAGGGCTCCTGTGACCTCAAGGGGCTCCTAGGGCCTCCTTGAACCTGCAGAGGATCCCAGAGCCTCCTGAGACCTCCGAGGAGGAGGAGCAGGAGGAGGATGAGAAGAAGGAGGAGGAGGAGAAGGAGGAGGAGGAGCAGGAGAAGGAGACGAAGGCGTTGTCGACGACGAGGGTGACGACGTCGAGGCGGAGGAGGAGGAGAAGGAGAAGTCAAGTCAGCCGAATCAAAGGAGTCAGCGGGTCCCGCCCATTCCCACCCCCCTTTCCAAGACATGAGAGCATAAGGTGGCGAACCTTGATGTCGGGACTGGCGCGCGTTCCCAACGACTTGGCGAGTGAGCAGTCTGAACCGCTCGAGCGGATGTGACATGCAGCTTTCAGACGAAACTCGCCAGGTGGTGACTCGAAAGCGCCATTTCGCGCGTTCGCGCGCGACGTGCGCCCCGTCCCACTCCCGCATTCTGGAACGCCGACGGCAAAATGACAATGTTGAGTGGAGAAGCGCCGACTCCGTTTGGTGCTTGGATGGGTTTGACGGGCCCTCCTGTAGCCATCTTGGTGACAGGGCGGGAGTACACACTAATGCGGCATACTAGTAGGATGGAGTGAAGGAGCGACGGAGAGAGGGGCGGAGTAAGAGAGACGGAGGAGGAGGAGGAGGAGGAGGAGGACGAGGAGGAGGAGGAGGAGGAGGAGGAGGAGGAGGAGGGACGGTAAGGAAGGGGAAGCCTCACTGGAGGGAGGGGGGGGGGACGGATGGCGAGGAGGAGGACGGGGCAGCTCATACGGCCGCGTCACATGAGGTGAGGGCGTGGAGGGGTGAGCGGGAGGGACTGAGGTCGGACGCCCGTGCGCTGGCTCCTGGCCATGGAGGGTAGCGCCGAGCGGTTGGGGTGAAGCCGCCAGCCGCCCAGGCGATATTTTAGATCCCCGAGCCAGCGTGGCCCCGGGCGGGGGGGGGCGGGCACATGGCACATGCGCAGGCGGACCTGAGGGTTCCAAATGGAATTTTTGGGGAGGGGGTTTTCCAGAAGGCCCCGCCAAGGGCCTCGGAACCTCGTCAAAACGGAGGGTGCGAAGCCCCTGGGGGACCCCTCCTGGAAAACCCCCTCCCCAAAAACCCCTTTGGAACCCTCTGGGTGGAGTGGGCGCGAAGTTGGCACGGCGGTCCGCGCAGCTCGGGTACGCGCCCCCGGCCGTCGCGGTAGTTTGGCCGGTGCCTGGCGGTCAGCGGGGGCCCTTCTGCCCAGGTGCATTTCAGTCGGGACGGAACCACAAGTGATCGCCCGTTCCCAGGAACCTCCGGGGAGTATTGGAAGACGAAGATCCAGACAATGTGACAAATATTGGGACTCATTGGATTCGTGTCTCTGTGTATTTGTGTATCCCTGGGCCCCTTCATCAAGACGCTGGAATGCGGTGGGGGCGTTGGTTGAGGAACGTGCGCGGGAGGCATCAGACCCGGCATGGCTCCTTATTTGGTGAGGGCGGCGGCAAAATCCGCTGCCAATCCGCGATTGGAGTTCTACTGGCTTCCATCGGGGGAGCGTAAGACCCGGGTTTGCCAGGACTCGGGTTCGCCATCGTTTTTTGACGACCGCGCCTCGGATTTTGACGAGGAGGAGTTTCGTGGGATGTCTGCAGCGGGAGGCCTCGTCAAAATGCAGGCTCGGCCTCGTCATTTTTTTGACGACCTCGTCGGGGATTTCCGAGTCCACTGTACCCAGGTCTTACGTCCCCCTGATTCCAGACCCTGGATTCCTTATCCAATGCTTCCTTATCCAATGCCCCCACCGTAAGGACTGCGTTGGGCTCGGGAAGGGGCTCGGGTTTTCGGGCCGCTTCTTGCGCTTACGTCGTGGAGCCTGTCTGTGGTCTAGGCCCGCAATGGACAGGAAAGTAGTCTCGTTCCTTATCCTGCGTTCCTTACGGTGGGGGCGTTGGTTAAGGAATTGGCAAAGGAGTCTTCAGACCCTGGAGAGTTCCTTATCCGATGAGGGCGGCGGTGATATCCACGGCAACTCCACGATTGGAGTTCCATTGGCTTCCAGACCCTGGACTCCTGATCGAAGGTTTCCTTATCAAATGCTCCCACCGTATATCAGCACGACGGGGGTACGGCGATTCGGGCCCTCGGGCGCCGACGGGCAGAGGGCACCGTCAGAGGCGGCGTTGGACCAACGTGGCTGTCACACGCCGAGGGGCGGGGCGCATAGCCCAGACAGGATGCAGCGGGCCAATCTGGGTGCCTGTAGACGGTGCAGAAGTAGTCTGGGGTGAAACGCTCAGTGACCTGGGCAGGCTCAGCAAGGTCAGCGTTGGGCAGTGCCAGATGAGGTGGTCCGCGCCGCGGCCGAGGGCTCGCCAGAGGAACTGGGGGCCTTGGTGAGAGGCCGTGTCTCGGGTCGGGTGGTCGGTGTGTTGCCGCCGCGTCAGTGGCGAGGGCGGCGGTGCGGTTCGCACTAATCAGCGCAAGCGCCGAGGCGGCCGCGGGATAGCCATGGCGGTGGTGAGCGACCTGGAGACGTTCGACCAAAGCCTGCCGCTCGGTCTGCTGGCGCGCGGCGTTCCCGCCTGCGTTATACGATGTACGCAAGTATCTTCTGGGAACTGAGTTCAGAAAGATCTTCACATGATGTTCAAGCACATGACACACTTCAGCTACCTGAGCGGGGTGTCCTGCAGTTCGTCTGCCTGACTCTCCCGACCAGACTGCGAAGGTCAGGTTGCTGGCTCGCCTGGCAGAGGAAGGCCACATGCTCCAGGATGCTGGGTTCGCCCGCTGGCAAGACCTTGCGCCGGACGATGGCCTGGATCTCAATGGCATGGCCAGGTGTGCGGACTGCCAGAGCACCCAGAGCCTGAAGCAGTTTCGACAAGCTGGGCGGATGGCCGCGAAGAGGACTTCCTTGTTGCCGCTGGCGCGCAGTGGTCTGGGAGCCTGCGAATCCGTGCCCGTAGGGCAGACGCTTGCAGCAAGGGAGCGGGTCGCTTTCCCCTTTTCCTTCGAGGCGAAGGGAAGCTTCGCGACCCTGGGGAAGCGTCGGGTCGCGTTGCGGACTAGCGCGTCCGCTACATGGGGCAAGCTGGGCTCGGCATGTATTGGCGGTCGGCTGACGTTGAAGGTATGTGCCCGCCAACTTGACGCTAGGCTGCACCCTGACCGGCTCGCTGGACAGCATGAGATGCGAGACCATGAGGTGGGAGCCGTCGCTGAGGGAGATGGGGGAGGGGAGAAAAGGATGACGGGATAATTGAAGGAGGGACAGAGGGAGAGAGGGAGCGCAGAAGGTGGAGTGGAGGGAGGAGGGATAGGAGGGGGAGAAAGAGAGGGGCGAAAGAGGGGCAGCACGGGGAGGATTGTCGTCGTCCTCCTCGTCCTCGTCTTTGTCCCCCTCCCACTCTTATTCTCATCCTGGCCCGGCTGCTCCTTCGCCCCCTTCGTTCTCCCCCCTCCCCGCCCTCACCCCCCTCCAATGGATGCGCCATGATTAGGAGGAGAACCATCACGTCGGACTAAAGGGGTACGATCCGGTTAGTGACTGCTTCAAGACCCTGACGTTTCTTGCGCCTGTCTGATTCACATTTCCAGAGTGATGTTGGGGGGGTGGCGAAAGCCACGGGGTAGGTCTGAAGAAGAGGAGGAGGATAGAGAATGAAGCCGAGCAGCAGCAGGATGATGGGAAGGCGTGTGGAGGGTTGGACAGGAAGGGCGCGAAGATGACGTGGGGGAGAAGAAGTGTGGAGGCCGACGCGGAGAAAGTGCACCATACATGCCAATCTAGAGAAGGACCATTCTCTTGCTCGCATTTCTCCGTGTTCCCCCCTCCACACACTTTCTCCTTGAGGATCATCCTTCCCATACTCCCGTTGCTCCCCCACGCTCCGCGTACTCCCCCTACTCCTCGTCCTTGCCGCTCCCCGCCCTCCCCCCCTTCCAACACGCTCTCCATTGTCACTGTCATCCCCCTTTCTCCTCCGTCTCCTGCTGGTCCTTCTGGTCGTCCTTCCTCTTCCTTCTCCTCCCCCTTACAATCCCCCCGTTCTCCTCTTCAGCCTCGTCCCCCCTCCTCCCGTCCTCCTCCTCCTCGTGTTCCTTATGTTTCTCCTCCCCCTCCCTTCTTTTTCCCCCATCTTCCCAGCTGTCTCCCTCTCCCTCCGCCTCCACCATCTGTCTCCCCTGTCCTCCTTCCCACTTGTACATTACGATTACTTCTCTCCCTCCCTTCATTATGTCCAGAAGATTTGCGGCCCTCTCCGCGTACTGTTTTGACGCACCAGAGTCCGAGCATATTTCTCATTTTCTTTACAATCCGTTGTTCCCCGGTTTTTCTGTGTTTCCAGGTGGTGCTCCCGCTGCGGCGTGGGCCTCATTTTCGGATCGGCCCTCTGCTCCCATCGTTCAGAATGGCGCTCCCGCCCAAGCGCGGACCACTTTCCTGTACGTGTCCGAGTCCTCGTCCATCGTTGTCGCTCCCAGCATTTCCCCTCCACCTTCCCCCGGTCCTCCTGCTCCTCAGGCTCCTTCCACACCAGCTCCTGATGCTGCTGCTGCTGCTGTTCCTCCTTCTCCTCCCCCCCATTCCTCATCCTCCTTCTCCTCCTGCTCATCCTCCAGCTCATCCGCCACCACCTCCTCCTATGTACGCAGCTCCCTCTTTTCCGATTGCGCTTCAGACGATGGGGTCCTCCTTTGAGTTCCAGGTCTGATGTAACACGCGCCGGGCGATAGAGAAGCACAGCGCAATGGGCAGGGATGGGTGGGGTGGTCAGGACGTCTGTCGCGATGCTCGCTCGCGATGGCCCCCTGCCCGCCCGGCAGCCCCCCCGGAAGGTGGAGAAGGAGGAGGAGGAGGAGGAGGAGGAGGAGGAGGAGGAGGAGGAGGAGGAGGGGGGGGATGGCGCGAGCGCGATTCCAGTCGGGAACTTTTGGATACCGCGTCGCTCCGCGGGGTCTGGCCCAACGCGCCTCGCTGCGGCACGCGATCCATGTCGCGGTCCCGAGGCGTCCGCGCGCCGAGCTTCTCCGAGCCTCGCGTCCCGCGGAGCGGATCGACGCGCTAGCCGCTCGCAGGACATGGCGTGCCGCTGGGGCAGCCGTGGCGACATGCTATCCCATCGGGCGACGAAATCTATACATATCCACTGCTCCCTGACCATGCCCATCTTGAACCCAGGAGCTGTGTATGCGCCCTCCTGGCCAAGCCAGGAGGGCGTGGCGCATACACCGCTGCGGGGTTGAGGATGGGCCTGGCCAGGGAGCAGTGGATATGTATAGATTTCGTCGCCCTAAGTTCTCGACCGTAGCTCGCCTATCCCCCTCCTTCCCTCCCTCCCCTCCTCCAGAGGAGGGCGCCCCTGGCGGCGGGGTGGATGGGGAGAGGGAATCGGCTCGGGACCCCCCGCAGGCCGACGCGGCCGCTGCGGCACAGGCGCCGGTGCAGGCGGACAAGGAGCCCGGTGGTGGTGGTGGTGGCGGTGGTCGGCGTCGTCGGCGTCGTTTAAAACGACGCGAAGATCGGGACAAAATCAGATCGGGATAACTCGAAATCTCTGAGAATCGGCGGGTTTGGAGGATGTATTGGGCGCCGCGGCCGCTCCAGAGCGTTCCGGAACGCTCTGAGAGCGCTCTGGAACGCTCTGGAGCGATTTATCCCGATCCCAGCCCTGTTTTATCGTTGGTGTCGTCGGCGGAGGTGTTGTCGTTCTCTTCGTCGTGGTTGCCGTCGCTCTCGTTGTCGACCTCCTCCTCCTCTTTTCTGTTCCTTCCCCTCCTTCTCCTCCTCCTTGTTTTCCTACTTTTCTTTCTTCTCCTCCTACTCTTTCCTCTCCTCCTACTCACTTCCCCTCCACCTTTGTTTCCTACTTTTCATTCTGTTCCTCAGGTTGCTGCTCCTCCTCTTCCCCTCTTATTCCTGCTCCTGTCTCCTCACTCGTCGTCGTCCTTATTCCTGCTGTGATGCCGACGTCGGCAGCGGCGGCGGCCGCGGGCGGCAGGGCGCCCTGACGCGCTGGGCGGGCGCCACCGCCTGCGAGTGCTGCGAGGCGGCGGACGGCGTGCGGCTCCGGGCGCGCTACAGGAACTCGCGCCGCGGCGGGTCAGATCGAGCTGAAGATCGGGCTGCGAGCCCAATTTTTCGGTGGCGAGCCCAGGGGGGAACCGAGAGGGGGAAGGCTCGGAAGGCGCCGGGCCTTCTGAATACAGTAGTTCTCTACGTAAGCCTTCTCCGAAGACGCAGAACACTTCTCAGAAAAACGCCAGGGATTCTGAGAAGTCGCGCCGCCTTCCAAGAAGGCCCGTCCCCTCTAACTTCCCCCCCCTGGGCTCGCTGCCAACATTAAATCGAAATGGAGATCGAAAGGCCCTTCAATTATCTGAATGGGTTTTGAATACGAGCGGTGGGGTCCCTCGCAGGGCCTTTGGAGGGCGTTCGGAAGACGAGGAGGCGTACTTGGGAGGCGAAGGCACCCAGAGGGAGTGGATGAGGAGGAGGAGGAGGAGGAGGATAAGGAGGAGGAGGAGAAGGAGGCGCAGGAGGAGCGGGGGCGACGACGACGTCGAGGAGGAGGGGGAAGGAGGTTGAGAAGGTTGGGGGAGGAAGGGGAGTATCAGAGTAAACCAGGGAGTGCACCAACGATGTTGCAATTTAGCCGCCCGTTCCAAATCCCCCTTTCAGAAGTCCTGCAGGCATTCCTTTCCACGATTGGACGCACTCCTTCACGACAGACGGCCGCCCCATGGGTCTGCCATGGTTGGATATCCCCGCTTTGAAAAAGGAGTTTTCTCCTGAATCCTTCAAGCTTGCCTGGTAGGGCGCGAGAAGGTAGCATGCTGAAGTGCATGGAACGCCCCGTCTTGCAGAGATGCCGACCTCCACCCGCGTTACAGCCAAGACGCTGAACTAAGGGCCAGTTGGGTTTGGAAGAGGCTCGATGTTCATCATGCCCTTCCATGGCTTCTTCTCTGGCACTCCTCGTCCACGCAGCCGCTCTTTGGGCAAGAAAGAGGCGTTGTTTCCTACGGTTCATTCCCTATTTCAGCAGGCCACCTCTATCATGATGAAGTTCAGGTAACGCCCCGTTTTGAGAAGAAGCCGCTCTCCATCGGTGTTTCACTGTTGCAGGGTGTGGCTCGTCGGATGATGGGTTTGGGGGGAGGGTCAGGCGAAGGCCCCTCCTTGAACAGGACACGCAGCTTCACGGTTCTGGGCACATGTTTTGAGGCATTCCCAAGTGAGAACCCCATTTTGAAAATGAGTTGCTTTTCGTCTTTGAGCTGCGGGGCAGCATTTCAAACGAGTGAACGCGGTGCGAAGGCGAGAGCTACAATCTATAAACGACCTGCTCTACGAGTGAACGTGGTGCGAAGGCGATACCTACAGTCTATAAACGACAGCATTTCAACGAGTAAACGCAGCCTGGGACGAGTACGACGTTGCTCAGCGTTCAGCGGCGCAACGGGGTCCAGCATCTCCACTCGGAGCACCGCGGCCTGTGCCACCAGTTCGTGGTGAGGCCAGCAGTGCGACGCGTACCACGTCGCCAAGCAGCACGACGGGCACCAGCAGTTTCACGCTGAGCATCACGACGGGGACCAGCAGTTCCACGGTCTTGGTTCTCTGGAGATCCAGTCTAGCAAAGCACTGCCCGCCGGACCACTGCCACCATGACAACTGCCACCATGACCAGCGTTACCCCCGTGACCAAGTCTAACATGCGCTTTGCATTGTGGCACTGTGGTGCGATTTCTTTTCCCCGAGCTGATGTCGAGGACTCCGTGCCCGCCCAGAGTGGACATTCGGGCGGTTGTTCCAATCCGTCATCACCTATTCGGTTACGATTGCAGCGCCTTGCCTGGTGCCACGCCCAGTCCATGCCCAATTGGTCATGCAGTTTGGCGCGACGTCTTGCAACCATCTGGCGGCAACGGGAAGCACGACGCCTTGCAGTGCAGCGCTGAAAGAAGCAGCAGCAGCACACCTCTAGCATCCAGGATTGGGACGTGCATCGGGGCGAGATGCCCCACTGTAAGCAGTACGACCGCCAGACGCAGCATGACGTCCGGCAGCATACTCAGGTTCAGCAGCAGGACTCTGCCATCTAGGAGGGAGAGGAAAACCTCAACGCAGAATCGACAGATGCTTGGCAAGATATTGGTTCATAGTTTACGTCGCACCACATATGAACACAGTGCGCGAATAGCTCATGTATGGCATGATACCACAACGGAGCTCTTAAACGAGATCCATTTGGATTGCTGGTCGGTGCCGTTTTTCTGAGTGCACCAGCGATCCGGCGCCACACCAGCAGCACCCCAGACGTTGCCCATGTGCGTGCGTCCGTCGTGTTTCGTTCTTCGTGCCAAAAGCACCGACTACCGAACCATCGCGTCGCAATCCAGCTCTGCGGCACCGAACACCACGGCGATATGCACGTCTGTGAGCGCGAGCGCTGCCCAGCACGCAGCACTGCGTCGTGCTCCAGCTCTACAGCACTGTGCGCTACCACGGCGGTCCTCACATCGGGTTGGGCACCAGTTGCTAAACAGCACTACCACGACCACGGCATCCACCACGACGTATTCGAGCGCCGCATCGCCGAAGAGCGCTGCGGCGCCCAGAGCAACGGCCACCAGCTACACGACGTTGAGCAACACGGCTATTGATGAGCACGACGGCCGCAGGCAGCACGACAGTGAGGAGTTCCGCAGCACGAGTGTGAGCAGCACGACGGTTGATACCACGAATGAGTTGAGCAGCACGTCGCTACCAGGGTGTATTTCTCGGCATGGGCACCACGTCGCTATACAGTACAACGGCATATAGCGTCACCAGGCTTCCACGCTCGTCTCCATTTTCGGAGTGGGACGACGCCCCGCCGCACCCCATAACGGAGTTGAGCTCCGCGTTGCAATCCAGCATTGCGGGCTCAAGCGGCACCACGGCCACCACGACGGAGTCCACCAGAGTTCAAGCGCTATGCTGCACGAGCGCCAGCGCCTATACCAGCGCCGAAGCAACCGCCGACGCCAGCGCACAGGTAAGCTGCCCGTCGCACAGGTGTTCCAGGAGCTAACGCTGGCGCCTACGTCAGCGCGCCACGGGGGCCTTCGGTGGAGCTCCATGGGGGGACACGGAAAGGTGAGAAATATACCCACATTGGCGCGGCGGACGCATGTAGGCTGCGCCGCTGGGACCTTCGGTAGAGGTCCTGGTGGGGCCACAAAGCGTGTGAGGGGTGTGCCGAAGTGGGTGCGGGACCGCATGTGGGCTGGGCCACTAGGACCTTTGATGGAGCCGGACGCGTGCAGGCTGCGCTTCTGGGACCTTCTCTGGAGCTCCCTATGGTGCCACGAAGCGCGTGAGGTGTTTGCCGACATGTGTGCGGGACCGCATGCGGGCTACGCCACGGTGTCCTTCGGTGAGGCGGTGAAGTTCCCTGTGGGGCCACGAATTGCGTGAGGGGTGTACCGAAATGAGTGGGGCAGACGCATGCGGGCGGCGCCACTTGGACCTTCGGTGGACCTCCATATGGGGCCATGCAGCATGTAAGGGTTGTGCCGAAATAGGTGCGGGATGGAGCCATGGAATGTGTGAGGGCTGTGCCGACATGGTTGCGGGATCGCATGCGGGCTGCGCCACTGGGGCTTTTGGTGGCGTTCCTTATGGGGCCACGAAACGTGCGAGGGGTGTGCCGACATGGGTGCGGGACTGCAACGCGGGCTGGGACGTTTGGACTTTCGGTGGAACCATCTGTGGGGCCACGAAACGTGTAAGGGGTATGCCGAGATGGTCGGGGGGGGACGCATCCTGGTTGCACCACTGGAGACTTCGTTTGAGCTCTGTGTGGGGACACGAAGTGGTGAGGGACATGCCGAGACGGGTGGGTCGGGCGCATGCGGGCTGCGCCGCTGGGACCTTCGGGGGAACTCCTTATGAGGCCACGGAACGTGTGAGGGGTGTGTCGATATGGGTGCGGGACCGCATGCGGGCTGGGCCATTGGGACGTTTGGTGGACCCCCCATGTGGGGTAACGAAGTGTGTGCGAGGTGTGCCGGAATGATTGCGGGACCGCATGCGGGCTGCGCCACTTGGACCTTCGGTGGAGCTCCCTATGGGTTCACGAAGCGTGTGCGGGGTGTATCGAACTGGTTGACTGATGCGGAGAGCAGAAATTATGGAGGGGTAGGACGGCGAGGAGGGAGGCGAGGACTCCGGGCGGTGTCTCTTCGAAACAAGGACCACGCTCCACAGGATGATTAGGACAACCGTTGCAACGTGATCGCTTAGTGCCCGCGCATGATCCAGATGTTGTCGCCACGTGCACTTTGTATGGTTGTTTGCCAGGGATGGTGTGGGGGGGTTCTGTCAGGATTCTAGGATCGCTCCTGGTCAGGTGAAGGAGCAGGCGTATACTAGCAAGGAGCAGTGATCAAGCTAACCCTCCTGAAGGCCAGCCGTGTCGCTCACTCCCACCCGCCCTCCCACCGCATGAACAGCACCAGAGGGTCAGTATGGGCAGTGGCCGTTATGGACCATCGTTGGGAACCAATGCGATCGTGATAGCAACGTGATAGCGTGACATGATAGCGTGACGTCCGCGCATGATCAGCATGTTGCCGTAAAGTGTGTTTCGTGTTTGTTTGTTGGCAGGTGATTGCTTGCGCACAGCAGGCATCATGCCCGCAACCCCCCTCGCCCCCATCAACAAAAACAGTGCACAGAGATTGTTTGGCGCCCGCGCGTGCCCCAGATTTTGCCGCACGTGCGCTTTGCAGTGTTTTCTGTCAGGGATGGAGTGGGGGGGAGGGGTACTGGCATCAAACACATGTCGCCGCGCTGTTTGTTCCGACGCGCGGCCTTCCGTCTTTGGGATGACGCCTCGGGCACCAGGGCATACGCCGCCGCCTCGGACGCAGTGGGTTTGCCGTTGGTTTGCCGCGGTGTCGGCTTGGTCTTCTTGGGCGTGGGACGTTGGGCTTGCCGTGGGTTTGCCGTGGTGTGGGCTTCGTCCACTTGAGCGCGTCGAGAACAAACGGCGCGGCGACAGATCCGTATGTTTCTAATTCGAAGTTCCTGGTGTCGGTGCCGATCTGAAGGTTTCCTTAGGTTCCGAAAGCACATCCTTAAGGTTGTCGTCGCCATGGGCTGTCGATCTCAGGCACAGGATCGGGCTAAGTTCGATGTTTTTTTTGGGGGGGGGGGTCGTCATGGTCCTGGGTTTGCCCCCAGTCAGCTGGGGGAGGGGGTGCACACTAATAAGGAACAGTTGCCAACAAGAAGTCTTGCCCGAAGGTGGATACGAAGTGAGGCGAGGATGGAAGTGGAAGCGTTCCGAATCACCTCAGCCCAAAGGGTTGGTGCGATTGGGGAAGATGCGAGGACTCAAAAGCATAGCGACGTCCGAGGTCTCGGTTTCCAGAAGTCCCTGGAGGTAGGCATCCAGAGGTCTCCAGAGATCCCAGGGGGCCTCTCGAGGTTTTCAGAGGTCACACAAACAAAGTTCTCGATACTCCTGCTCCTTCCCCCCCTGCCTCGGGCCCGTAGCCCAGGGACACCGTCGAGAAGTACTGCGGCGGAGGCGACTCGCTGGGCGCGGAGCCCGAGCGGGTGATGGCGCCCGCCGTAGAGGTTGCCTCCAGAGGCAGCATTGTCTCTTTGGGGGCCGATGTCTGGTAACCAACGACGCCCTTAGGGTGACGAGGAGGTTCGGGGGGGAGAAACCAACGTCTAACTCAATCGTTCTCACGATCGATCTCACTCACGATCTCACCATCGATCTCACGATGGATGTCACAATCGATCTCACGATCGGTCTCACTCACGATCTCACCATCGATCTGACGACCGTTTTGGCTATGGACCCCACTATCGATCTCATTATCGATCTCACTATCGATCTGACTCTAGATATCACTATCAATCTCGCCATCGATCTCATTACCGATCGCACTATCAATCCCACTGTCGATCTCCTTATCGACCTCTTAGTCGATATCACTATCGATCTCAATCGATCTCACTATCGGTATCGTTATCGATGTCACTATCGATGTCACTCTCAGTCTCACCATAGATTTCACTCTCGATCTCACTATCGATCTCACAATCGATCTCACAGGACACCATCGGACACGGCGGGATTGTGCGAGACACCACAGGACACCACGGGACAGCATCGGGACACCATCGGGAAACCACGGCGGGGCGCCACCGCTGGACACCGCGGGGCACCACGGGACACCACGGGACACCATCAGAACACCACGGCTGGAAACCGCGGGACACCACGGGACACCATCGGGACATCACCATGCCAGTATCGGACCACCATTCGTGACACCGCGGGGACACCACGGGACACCAACGGGACACCACGGCGGGACACTGCCCGCCCCACGGCCAGGGTGGGGCGGAATTCTGCCCTCGCCGCGCCCTAGCCAGAGGAGGGTTCCATCCTCTCGCCCGCCTACGCAGCTTCGCGTCGCCCGGGGATCTCCGTTCCACTTCGATGTCACCCTTTCCCCTCCGACCAACTACCCCCAAGATGGACAAGCCCAGGGAGATGACAATCGTAGGGATGCACCCTCACACACTAAGGGGTTCCTTAAGATCAGCACCGAGATAAGGAGGTGCAAATTATAGGAAAAGGGATATGCTTCAGGCTGGTGATCTGGCGGGTTCGGCACGGGTTCGACGTTGATGCGACGCGCATTCGACGTGGGCGCTGGCTGAACTGCTGTCTGCTCTGAGTCACACTGGAGATGCCGCGGTCGACGTTTCGGAGGAGTGTGCCGGTTTCGGCCACAACTGCCTCGAAGGGCCCCAAATCCTTGCGTTCCCCGCTTGTGCCTCCGCGACCAACGCCGACGTCGAGAATGTAAGCCCGCGCGCACGTGGATTCGACGCGGTTTCGACGTTCGACGCGGACCCGACGTGGACACCAGCGCGATGTAGCGGACGAGGTCCCCTGAAGACGCAGCATGACCACGAAGGAGCAGAGGCCTCCCGCCTATCCCCTCGTCTCTTTGACACCTTCTGAAGTTTTTTTGTGTTAGCCGCCGTTGGCCTTTCTCGGGCCTCTCGAGACCTCTGGGGACTCGGAGTCATCTGGAGAGGCCTCAGTTCGTTCGGAACTAGAAGCCGGTATCTTTTATTGGTTTGCCGTCTTTTTTGTATGATAGACGTTCCAACGCGTTCTTTTTCTGGCGTGCCCTCAATGTTGTTGTTTCTTGCCTCTGCCGGAAGCTTCAACCAAATAAGGATTGCCATCCCGAGATGCCGCCGCCGAGAACGGCCAACATACCAGACATTTGCAAATTTCGATGGGCGGAAGGCGCCCAGCGGCGCGATGCGTCGACCCTTGGGTTGGTTCGATCGGTCCCCGAACAGGAACTTAGGCCGCATGTGGTTGCTTGTTCGCGGTCCGATCTTCCTGAAAGCAGTGCGTCCTCCAAGGCGATCCAACCATGTCGATGGGACCCAAGCTGGGCCGTTCAAGCTAGTATCTGTGTTTTTGTTCTCCGCGTGGTTCAGGCGCGGAGCTGCGCCCGCTGCGCCGCTGGATGATGCGCGTGCTCAAACGCGGGCGCGACCATGTGTCGATCGGCCTCGGGGCTTGCGCAGCGTCCGCCTTTGGATTGGCGCAGTGAGGGGCTCCTGGCCTCGGCTCGGCCACAGCAGCAAAACTTGTCGTTTCACCGGTCGCGGGTGTGAGCTGCGCCCTCGCCCTGGGCGCATCCGGGTGGCTCTCCGCGGGCCTCCGGGGGCGGTTTGCCAGGGGGGTTATCAGGCCTTTCTTCGGGCCTGTGGCCCGCTGTGTCATGCTTCGTGTTGGCTCGGTCAAATCCCTCTTATTATTGGGTGCAAGTGTCGTGTCGTCTTTGGGGTGTTTCAGCCAAGTACTACTTGACGCTCAGGAGTGTTACTCGGTACACTCTTTTTCACGTGGACTCCCCCCGCAGCCCCCAGTCGCCCAGACTGCGCCATCGGCGCGATGATGCTCTCATCCAGGCGGCGGGATTTGATCCTCAATCGTTGTTCGGCGCCGTGCTCAACGGATTCTTCCGACCACAAGCTCGCATGATTCACGCGTCCGGTGTCGCGTTACGCAAATGTCGGCCTCACGGGCGGGAAACATTAATTTTTCAAACTTTCCTTGCGTTTCCCCTCCTTCCCTCATCATTTCCTCTGCATCTCCCTCGCGTCGCCACCATACTCAATCTCGTTGTTTCCCCTCTCCTCCATTCGCTCCCTTTTTCCCCGTTTCCCCTCCGATTTCCGCCTCCGTCTGCCCTTCCCCGCTTACCGTTTTTCTTGTTGCACCTCTGTGTTTGTTTATTTGCTTACATGGTGTTTAAGTTCACCTCTCTCTCTCTATCTCCCTTGTTGTCCCCATCGCCTTTTCTATGTTCTTCTCTCTATGTACAGGTACGTTTTATCGGTGTGCGTTTGCCTATGTGCTTCGCTTGAAGTCGATCGCTGTCTTCGCAATGTGTGTTATGTGTTTACATGTGCACATACATGCATAAATGTGTCCCGACTGGTAATCCGGCTACCTGTTCGTATGTGTGTTTGTGTTTCGTCGTTTCTTTCGTGCACTACATTACGGGTGGTAGATGTCCGCCTCGAACGTTCTATGTGGTTTCTTGTCGCAAGACTGCCTCGCGGTGGGAGACCACGTCCTGCGATCGACTGCTAGGAGGGATGTTTGGACTAGCAAGACTTGGACACCATTTCGCGCGGCTTCACATTTGTGACGGTTCGCGGTTGTGAGCTCTACGTCATGTTTTGTCGGGCCATTTGTTTTGGTACATTCGATTCGCATTTTGCTCGTGTTCATGCCAACTTTATTTTTGTTTTGCTGATTGTGCCTTCAGCGCGCATGGTTCTGGTGCCTTTGATGCACATCTTATTTTCAGGATGCACCAGGACCTTTTGCGATTGTGCGTTGATACTCATGGGTGCCCACGGCGTACGGGCGGCAGACGTGCGGCTTCGTCGCAAAAGGACAGGCTGTCTGGCTAGGTGGCTCGCTGACTGTTTGTCTGTCTATTTGTGTGTCTGTCTGTCTGTGTGTGTGTGTCTGGCTGTGTCTGTTTCTCCTCGTCTCTCGCCGTGCCCCTCCCTCTCCAGACCAGGCCGTCGTCGACGGATTCGAGGCTCTTCTCGGAGGAAAGCCACCACAGCTCATTGGAGCTCAGGCCGATCTTTGGGACTCTCTCCACCGTGCGCAGCAAGTCCAAACCTGACACGTTCAAGGTCCAGGACATGGAAAAACATGTTGGTGAGCTAGGCATAAGCGAACTTGTAACCGCCACGCAGACGAATTACCCATAGCAGGGACACGTCTGCACACCTTGCAGCAAGACGTCACAGACGTACCCAAGAGTCGCCACACATTCGCTGCGGCTTTGACAGCATTGCCGTCGCGATCTATGACCGCCGCCACCACACGTTGCTTTTGCCAAACCGACGCGCCAGTTGTTCCGGGGCGGATCTTAGCAAGATGAAGCCTGATCCGCTCACGATAGGCGAGGAGGTTGCAAGCCACGCGGCTCAACTGGCGACCATTCGCAACCGCGAGACACACCATGGCCGGACTTCTTCGACCGACGACCCACGGGAAACCCCAATCGACGATTTAGAAGACGAAGACCCACGGGGATCAGGGGCGGCCTTGGACAACGATGAAGAAGCCGTTGCTGCTCCATCGGGGGCTCACGATAGAGACGGTAGCGACGTCGACGACGAAATAACATAGCAGCGTCAGCAAAGGCACTCGGGAGCTGTGCGGTAGTCCACCAGGACCCAACCCCTGCGGCCACCACGGATAGCCACCAGGTCGTTCCCTCTCCCACCAGGGTGCGGGGACTGGCGACCGCTCTGCCACCCAAGAGGGCGCAGCCATTGGTGGAGCACCAGTGCAGCGAACGGATCGCAGGCACGCCCTCACGCAGTACCGCGCTGCTGCTCGGCAAGTCATACCGGGAACGCGAAAAGGTTCTCATCGCTAGCGTCACGGGGCTGCAACAGCCTGCCACAAACCTTGCGCAGACCCTTCTCTCCATCCAGGAACCGTCTACATTCCAACCAGCTCAGTCCGCCTGAAACGACCTGCAACAGGCTTTCCGTTCGACTCCTTCTTACGGGATCGCCTTCCAGGGAAGCCGCCAGACGCGCCTTGACGCTCACAGCTAGCACACTTGTGCTAGTCTCTCCTCTTCTTCGGGTGCGGTGCGAGAACAGTTGCCAATTGTTCCGCGGCCTTGGAAGAATGCCGCCGCGGTGGATGCCCAAAGGTGGCGCCACGGTTCCCTGAGATGCCGACGCGCGTAGGCTTAAGCACGCTGGAAGCCGGCGCTTGTTGCTGGGGTGTGCAGACGGGATGTGTCACGCCCTCAGCGACTGCGGAGCACGTGATCGTGCACAAAAGATCACCTCGATCGGGTGATCACGTGATCGGCAATCATGTGGTCTTTTGTGCTCAATTACGGGATCGGCCGATCCCAGTCACAGCCAATCACGAGCGGCCCGTCGCTTTACGACAATCTGGTGACACGCACACTCTGCTTATCAGGCGGCCCAGGGACTCGAACCAGTTTGCCCCTGGAGACCAGAGAACCGCGCGACACCACCCCAGTCGCGAAAGCGTTTGCGTCGGCGCACAAATCCAGCGCTCAGGGCCTCGGACTCCGCTAAAGAGCTTCCTCGTCTCGTGCTGGGCGCCACAGCCCACGAAACAAGGCGATACCGAGCTCTTGGACGGGTTGTGCGTGTAGCCGTAGGAGGAGAAGGAGGAGGAGGAGCAGGAGCAGGAGGAGGAGGAGGAGGAGGAGGAGGAGGAGGAGAAGGAGGCGCGAGGTCCGTGGGAGGCCCGGCCCCGCGTGACACGCAGAATTTGCAAGTCACGCGGCCTAAGGCCTCGGGTGGCACCTCCAACGGCCGGGGGCCCGTCCGAGGCCCGCCAAGGCTGCTGGCTGCTGGCGTGGGCGTGGCGCGCACGATTCGCCTCTCGCGTCGACGCAACGCGCAAATCTTGCACGCCGCGCGCTGGGGCGGGGCGGAGTCCGGTGGGTGGGGCCGCGCCAACATTCGGGGGAGCGTAAGACCCGGGTTTGCCAGGACTCGGGTTCGCCATCGTTTTTTGACGACCGCGACTCGGATTTTGACGAGTAGGAGTTTCGTGGGATGTCTGCAGCGGGAGGCCTCGTCAAAATGCAGGCTCGGCCTCGTCATTTTTTTGACGACCTCGTCGGGGATTTCCGAGTCCCCTGTACCCGGGTCTTACGCCCCCCTGAAATATGAGAGAGGGTTCGACAGGCCCTTCGGTGCCTTGTGATCGGCTCGTGACCAGCCGCTGTTTTGTCCGTGATCGGGTTCCGGAAGCCGTGGCGCGCAGATTCTGCCTGTCCTTGCGCGGCGTTCTGACTGGGACCCGCGAGTCCAGCGTGTCGAGCGCGAGAACGGCTCAGGGCCCAGCCCAACGCAACGGCCCTGGACTCAGCCCGGGCCCCCAGCCCCGGCGCCCCGGCTCCTGGCCCCGGCGCGCGCGCCAGAGCAGGGCCCGTGGCGGGCCCGCGTGACGCGCAGATTCCTCGTGTCCGTGCGCGGCGTTCTGGCTGGGACACGCGAAGCAGGCGCGTCGCGGCGCGCGAGAACCGCCCTGGCCCAATCGCGCCCCCCCAGATTCGCGTGTCGCGGCCAGAACGCGGCCGAAATTTGCGTGTCGCACGCGCCCCGGCCCAGGCCTCGGCCCCAGCCCCGGCCCTGGCCCCGGCCCAGCCCCAGCCCTGGCAACGCAACTCCGAGCCCCGGCCCGGGCCCGACCCCTGGCCCCGTTGTGGGCCCGGCCCCAGCCCTAGCCCTGGCGCCTAGCCTTTGCGCTCCTCCTCCTCCTCCTCCTCTTCCTCCTCCTCTTCCTCCTCCTCCTCCTCCTCCTCCTCCTCCTCCTCCTCCTCCTTCTCCTGCTCCTCCTGCCTGCTTAGCAGGCGCATCGTCTGTGGACGCTTGAGTTCAGATTTTTCCCGCGTGCGCGCCAGACGGCATGCTCGGCTTCGTGCTCGTGCTTGCGATCGGCCCCGTCGGCCGCCGAGGCCCGGGCCCTGGTGGCCAGCCCTGGGGACCGGAAGCCCACGAGCGCGGCGCGGCCTCGCCGCAGGCCGGCCCTCTTCGGGGCACTGCCTGCCTGCGGGGGCAGCGCCGGGTCGGCCCGCGGCGGAGGGGATCCCCGCCCGGGGCCCTCGTCCGTGCCCCGCCCCCTCGGCCCTCGACGCGGACGCCGTGCCGTCGCCGTCGTCCTCGGCTTCGGCGCCGTCCTGTGGGGGTCGATGGGGCTCGCTGGTCGCCGTTGGCTTCGGCGTGAGCCCCATCGGCTGCAGCGTCGGCAGTAGAGCCCCATCGACGCCGTCCGAGGTGCAGTCCGCCGCGGGCATCCTGGCAGTGGGCGACGCGGCCCGCGAGCGCGTGTGCGCGAGCCCGCTGTGCCGCAGCGCCATCGTGTCCTTCTGGGAGCCGGTGCGGGGGTGCTCCTCGATCGCCTACTGGAGGACGCCCCGACGCCCCGTACCCGTGCGCTGGAGAAGGGGGACGAGAGGACGAGGAATGCGATGATGATGATGATGATGATGATGATGATGAGGAGGAGGAGGAGGAGGAGGAGGAGGGGAGGAGGATGACGACGGGGATGTTGGTGATGGTGGTGGTGCTGCTGATGACGGTGTTGATGGCGATGCGATGGTGATGGTGATGGTGCTGCTGATGACGCGCACATGCGAACGCCGCCACTGGCGGCTTAGGTGGAGCCCCCCATGGAGTCACGAAGCGTGTGAGAGGTATGTCGAAAAGGGCGTGACGCGCACGTGCAAACGTCGCCTCTGGGGCCTTGGTGGAGCTCCCTCTGGGGCCATGAATCGTGTGAGCGGTGTGCCGAGACGGGTGCGACGCCCGCATACGAGAATCGCTGTTGCAGCCTTAGGTGGAGCTCCGTATGGGGCCACGCAGCGCGTGAGAGGTGAACCGAAACGGGCGCGACGACCACATTCGAACGTTGCCACCAGGGCAATCGGTGGAGCTCCCTATGGGGTCACGCAGCGCGTGAGGGGTGTGCCGGAACGGGCGTGGCGTCCACATGCAGACGTCGCCACTGGGACCTTTGGTGGAGCTGCCGATGGGGCCACGAAGCGCGTGGTGAGCTTTTTTCCCCCCTCACCAGGGTAACCCTCGTTTCCAAGGCAGAACCCACCCCACCCCCCCGCGGGTAACGCTGATGATCGTCTTGGGGGAGGGGGCCTGGACGCTCCCGTACATGCTGGGGGCGCACAGGCGATTGATGCGCCGTTGGCGCGGGCGCACCTTGGCGGGCGCACACAGCTGCAGCCGTGACTGTTACCCTCCCGCCCGAACCCCCCCTCTAAGGTAACGACTGGTACCTTGGAGAGAAAAACACGGTCACGTGAGGAATGTGCCGGAACGGGCGCGACGCCCACCTGGCAACGTCGCCACTGGGGCCTTGGGTGGAGCCCCCCTTATGGGGCCACGAAGCGCGTGAGGGGTGTGCCGAAACGGTCGTGACGCCCACATGCGAACGTGGCCTCTGGGGCCTTGGTGGAGCTCCCAATGGGATCACGAGAAATTTGGGAGGTGTGGCAAAGTGGACATGCGGAGCCGGGAGGCAAGGATGCCAGAAGGGAGGAGGGCAGCGGGTGGGAGACGCGGGGCTCTGTCTCGCCAAAGCGACGACCCAACGCCACATGATGGTTGGGATGACGTTTCTCGTTCCAACGTGGACATTGTGTCGTCAATCTTGCAATATGCGTAGCAGGAATGTTGCGAGGCGCACATCCCGCGCGAAAGGCAGAACTGTCGCTCTCGCCCTAGCGCCGCGTTCATATCTCTATTGACCGGAGTTCCCGCTCGGTACGGTGAACTTTTTTTCGCACGCCAGTTCGTCGACGCGCGCGCGGACGGAAATGTCGTTCTCGCTCTGGCGCCGCGCAGATTTCGCTTGAAACTGGCGCTCCCGCTTCGTCGCGGCGCACATTTCTCACTCGCCAATTCTGGGGGACCCGCGCGACTGCGCGATCTGTCGCCCTCGCCCAACTTCCGTGCGCATTTCGCTCGGAAGCAGCGTTCCAGACAGGGCGCGGTGCATGGCTCGTTTTCCGAAGTGCACGGCGACGACAGCGGCAGTGGAGCCGCGCGAGAGAGGGTGAAATGCTAACCTCGCCCAAGCGCCGCGCAGCTTTTGAGTGAAAATGGCAAGTGGCAAATCTGTGTCAGCGCGGCGCTTCGTCTTCGCCCTGCCCATCGGAAGTGTTGTCGATCCCGCCCCGCGCGGCCCGCGCAGTTCTCTCTTCGCCAAGTCGGCGGAAGCGTGGCCGCGCGCGAATGGTTTCTGTTTGCGAGGTGGGAACGCGTTTTCATCCAAACACCAAATTGTGCCACAATGTGTTCTAATGTTGCTCACCGCTCATCCACTGGCCGCTCATAACTTGGTTCCTATCCCTATTCCCTTTTTTCGTATATACTCCCAATCTGCCACCTAGCTGGCCGATAGCAACCCAGTCCGGGTGGTCCATCCGACTGGTCCGAAGACAAAACACCATCAACGTTGCTCATCTCAACACGGGCATTGCGTCGTCAGTATCTAAAGTGCGTGGCAGGAATGGGACGGGAAGCGCATCCCGCGCGAAAGGCGTAATGTAGTTGTCGGTTCGGCGCCACGCTCATTTTTCTATAGGGGGCAAAGCTCCCGCTCGTGCGCGGCGCGCGTTTTTCGCACGCCACGTCCTCGACGCGTGAGCGGACGAACACGTCGCTCTCGCCCCAGCGCCGCGCAGATTTCGCCTGAACGTTGCGCTCCCGCGTCGACGCGGTGCAGTTGTGTCATTCGCATTTTTTTCGGGGGCCCGCGCAAGTGGACGATTTGCTGCCCTCGCCCCACTTTCGTGCGCATTTTTGGTCGGGGGTGGCGTTCCAGCGCGTGCGCGGTGCACGGTTCGCTCCCCGAAGTCAATGGGGTCGAGAGCGGCAGCGGGGCCGCGCGAGAGCGGGCGACATGATGACCTCGCCAAACTGCCGCTCAGCTTGTGCGTGACAGTGGCGATGCTGTGCTGGCGCGGGGCATGATTCGTCCTCGCTGCGCCCAATCGGGAGCTCAACCGCTCCCACCGCTGCGCGGCCCGCGTAGTTTCTTACTCGCCAAATAGTCGGAAAGGGGGGCCGCGCGCGAGCGCCTTCCGCTTGCGCGGTGGCGCCGCATTCGAATCCCGATGCTAACGTGTGCCACGATTGATTCGTACGTTTTGGGGGGGGGAGTGCCCGTAGGCGTGGCCTTCGGACTCACCCGATCAGGCTAACTTGGCCCCTGCCCCTACTCCTCTAATTCTTCTCTGCTCGGCCAAAACACGTTGTATTATATTGTAGTTTGGTGGAGCGGACGAAACAAGAGGAACTCATGCGGGCAGCTTGAACGGAGTCATGCGGATAGCAGAGGAAGCCGTGCAGATAGTTGGGCGGACGTAGGGGCAACAATAGGGTGGAGCAATGGACCAGATCTCTACCACAACTAGCTTGGGCTCCTATAGTCAAACCCAGTTGGGAAACGTGTAGTACAGATCACGTGCGCGCGTACTCGTCACATTCAATCCGTCCAGCACCATTGATCCCCAGTGGTGTTCAAGCAGCACCGATCGAGTATCACGTGCTTTTTGGCTGGGACGCATGGCGAACTACTGCACGCGCACTCGCAGGCATCATAATTATTATTGTTGTTTACGTTGCCCGTAGGTCAAGGGAGATCCAGTGGGCCACGTGCGCGCATGTCACATATACATATATATATATATATATGTATGCATACATGTGCAAATACAGACATACACACCTATGCATACAACCATATGTCAATAACACATTTGTACATATACATACATCCATACATACATATACACATACATATATATATACATACATACACACATGCATGCATACATACACACATACATACAAATAGGCATGCATACAAGCATGCATACGTACAAACATACATACATACATATGTTTATGTATACACATACATACGTGCATGCATGTATACATACATACATGCATACATACACACATGTATACATACATACATACATACATACATACATACATACATACATACATACATACATACATGCATGCACATATACGTACGTACACACATACATACATACATGCATACATGCATACATACATACAGACATACTTACACAAATACGTACATACATACATACATACATACATACATACATACATACATACACACATACATACATACATACATGCATACATACATACATACATACATACTTAGATGCAGGTACGTTTACATAGATATTGGGCTCCTCCCCAACATAATTGGCCAACTCTTGTTGAGTGTCTTTATTTCCTCACCTGTCTTCGGTCAAGCTTGATTCGTGGACAGGCCACTACACCCCCGTTTTGCGTCCGAAGTTGATGTGGGAAGAGCTCGCGCAGCTGGCCACAAGACTGACGCAGAGTTACCTGGCAAGCTGCCCGCGTTGCCCCAAGCACCACTGCCCAGACTGCAACTGCGGTCGGTGCTCGTCCATGCCCGCGTGCCCGGCGTGCCCGGGCGCGCCTGTGCCGCCGGCCGCGGCGGCGGAGGTGCAGCTCGCGATCGGGCTGCCGTGGAGCTGGGCCATCGTGCTGCTCGTGGGTGGGTGCCTGGCCGGGATCGTCGGCGGGGAGGCGGTGAAGAGCCTCATGCGAGGCTGCTGCTGCCGACGACGACGTGGCGAGGATGCCGACCGTGCTGACCCAGCCGGAGGAGCCCACCCACGCGTAGGTGTACGTGCTCTACAATTGGGAGGGCGAGCTGTGGCACCAGAGGCGACGTGTCGCGACCTCAAGGGTGTCTTGGGCGACTAAATACATCCTGACGCCTGACGGCGATTGCTACGCGGAGAAGTACGACATGGAGGAGCAGAGCATCCTGGTGGTGAGATACGCCGAGGTTCGCTGTCCGCCGCGCCGCATGGGCTGGCGCGGGGCAGTGTGTATAGGTTCAGGGCCGCGCCGACTCAGCAGGAGGTTGACGACGCGGCCGACCAGGCAGAGGCGATGGAGAGGGCCGAGCACAGCGTGCGGGAGTTCGCTGCTGGGCGCGACCCAGCAGTGGTGCCGGCGGGAGGCTACGTCGAGCGGTTGCCCGTTGCGGTGCCAGCTGCGGCCGCGCCAGCGCCCGTCCCCGCAGTGCCCGCGCCGGCCGCCTGAGGAGGGGGCGGCGTGGCAGCCGCGGGAAGGCCGCGGCGCGTGGGCGTCCCTGTCGGTGCCGCTGGCGTTGGAGCAGGGGCCAGATGTTTTGGCGGGGATCGGGGTGACCAGACCCGGGTGTGGGTCGTGGTGGAAACAGGCCTGCACTACCGCCGAGGAGACGTGGTGGGGCTGCCTGCTGGTTTCACGATCGTCGGTGGGGTTGCCGTGTCCTTGCTGGCCGATGGATCCGTGCTCACCCTCCAACAGATGAAGCGCTGCGAAG